AATACGGGAGGACTGAATTTCCCTCCCATATTTATATTTTAATACGGGAGGACTGAATTTCCCATTCAAACAAGCTGGCACTTCCAGCAGCTGTAAAAAAACAAAAAAGGGATCTACAAGCTCTTAAACAGTTTACAACAGGAGAAATCCTTCCCCAAACCTTCATCTCTGTGCTTCAAAGTGAAAATCTTTCAACATTTGAGTGTAGTGGTAGCTTTTTTTCCCTAAAAGGAACATGACTAAATGTTATTGATGCAGTGTGACAGAACAGCAGGGACACAGTATCTGCTGTACAGGGTAAAGATACATCCAACAAGTCTCGGACTCAAGCTGTCAACAATGCCTAGTGTCTGAAGCAAATGAGTGGGATGCTACCCTGTAGGAAACTGACCTGAAAATCTTCAATGTTTGACCAAAGTCATAACTAAATGGTTAAGTTTGGAGGAGGATCAATGGAGGCCTCCTAATTCCAAAATGCTAACATATCAAATTCCTGGTATCAACCAAACAAAAATGCTTAAAGTGATTCTACAGAACCTACTATAAAGTAGTAAACACCACACCAAAAATGACAATTTTTAAAAATACTTGATAAAATGTCCCCATTTAAAGCATATATACATTAGGTTAATTACTCACCTGTAATTGTAGCTGCTGTATTCAAAGTCTATCAACATAAGTTTCTGTCTGTCTGAGTTCTCCCTGCCTTTCAGAAGCAAGATATTACCTGTGAGGAGAAAAAGAGAAACATTTTTGAGAAAAAAAGAGGAAAAAAACTTAAAAAACATAATTAGAGAATGATTGAAAATCCTAACACAGTCATCAACAACTTACAATTTGGTCAGGATTGTTTTGAACTCCATCCTAAGATGGCTACTTTCTTGGTGAATACAATTTTAAACCACCCTGCATTCATTTTAACAAAGGCCTGTGGAGATGCTGGTGAATGACATTAAGAAAACAAGCTCACTGTGCAATCCTGCGAGAACCACTCAAATAAATGACGCTGTTCTCCTTTATGTACATCACGGCAAATAACTCAAATATTTTTACAAGGACAAAATGGCTGCCAAAGCTGATAAACAGAGCTGCTTGTGCTACAGTCTGTGAAAAGAAAAAATGCTGCTCTTGAGCGTCATCTTACAAAACGATTCATATTCCAGACAAATCAAAGAACAGAGAAAACAGTGCTGCCACAAATGTAAATAATAATGATGGACAACAAGCTGTCCTGAAACAAACACTGCACACTGAATTTGGTAAGGATTGGCGTCAATGGCTTTGTACAACCCAACACTATAACAGGAGGAATGTGGAGGATTTTAAAGTGGCTGGGATCCTTGGCATAAACCTGTATCGAACACTTCAGAGCGAATTTGAATCTGCTTGCCATTAGAGAGAAGGTGATCTTACCTTCCTGGCAGTCATTGTGGCAGAAAACAACAGGAGAAGCAGTGGATTCCAGTAAAGACCTGTGGCACACAAAAGACATGCAAGGGAAGAGGTCAAGGCTTAGGTGCCACAGGTGACAATCGGGTGTCATTATATGCTCCGGATCAAAAATATCCTGGGAAAGATATTACAGTTGTAGTTTACAACTACAACAGACCCACAAAGTAAGAAGGCATTTCTTATGCAGGAGCTTCACAGTCATGCATAGTAAATCCACTATAGTGATAAACGTTTGACAATATCAGGGTGCCAACTATGAATGTATCGCGTCTGCAACGCATTGTTTTCACTACGTTGTACTTGTGGGATTGTGTCCCAGTCCTCTTGTATGGTATAAGAACGTAAATCTCATAAATGAGAGAAAACCATTCAGCTCTTCTAGCCTGTTTGGTAGTTGGACATGAATTGAGCCCAGAATGCTGTTCCATGGCTTACATAGGCCACACAAGGATGTGCACTGTACCGCTGGGATGTGCATCACCCTTCCCTCCCTGTGGTGGGCTCAAGTCCCAGGACAAGACCAGTCCTGCTCAGACCTCCCCACTGATCCCGGTGTGGTATCGGGAGTCACGGTGGCACTGCTCTTAGATCCAGCATCTTGCCAGGTTAGACATGACTGGCTCACTCCGACTGTGGGTAACTGTGCACCAACAGTCCAGCCTCCCGCATTTGACATCAGGAAGGTGGTGCTCTCTTGGCAAGCAGGGCATACTGGTTCATTCCTTGACATTTACTAGCTTAGACATTCACCTCATTACCTGTGTCCAATCAACTCTCACTACAGCGATTCTGGGCTTGCATATCAAAATAACTTGAGCACGTCACAGCCATGAATTACAAATGCCAATTTGTATACGGTCCAATGTCCAAAATATGTTTTTTTTTCCCCTTAAAAAATGATCAACATCCTTTGGTACTCAGTACAGAAAAAACCTAGCTGTCCCTATACAGCAGATCCTTCTTTAAAAATATGGGAGAGAAAACTAGAGTTACTCAGGGCAATCCAGTTCGGCCAATATCTAACAAATGATTTACAGGCCTACTTCAGTCAACGTAAATGCTATACATTAACTAAAAAAAGCAATCTTCCCATGGGAACAAGAGTGTTGTGTAATACAATGTTTAAAAAATATCATTTAATATTTTACCTTAAAATCACTGGAGCATTCAATCCAGGAAAGTGCAATTTTCAGAAAGAACACCTTTACATTAAGTTACCATATATAGAGAGCTAAATACATAATATATTCTCCTAAACAATTTACACTCAATTTAAACAGATCGATTTTTGCAATTTCTTCACGAGCAGAGACCTATTAAACGTGTTAACGAAAAGTTTGTAAGTATGCAGTATCAGAATTAATTCCGCCCTCAATTTCTTTTCAAGGCTAGAAAAAAGAAATCAAGATCCTTTACAAACTCGCTTTAACCCTGCCAAAAAGATGAGGTAGCTCTAGGTGGTGAGTGTAAACTGTGGCGCCCACACTCCACAAACATTCAAAGAATGCGTGGGCCCAGTTCTACCAACATCTGAGCTTGTATTTCGCAAACCTATTTCACGTGAACGCTCGGTCTCAACACGTGGTTAAATGATAAATGGCCGAAATGTGCGATGGAAAGGCACAGCTGCCTGTTTGTGAACTCCTTAGGTTGATCATTATTCTCACATTTTTGGATCTAAAGCATCATTAGATCTTAAATAAAGTCTTAATAAAAGGTTAAGGTAACCCAATTAAATTTACTGGAAATAATCCAAATATATCTTATTTAATTCTAACAGTACACATGTGTGAATATGTGAATGCTTAGATTCAGTAATGGGGGTAGCTCCTTGTCCAGCACTGACTTGTAACTGTAACTTTTGATCAGTTTCTTCCCTTTCAGTTACTGAACTGCGTCTAGTTAGCGATGTTCGAGAGTGTCCTTGCATGAACAGCTCACTACACACTCTGTAGTGTGAATAAAATTTCTGCGGGGGTTCACAAACATTTCCTTGGCTCTGGAATTCCCCATCAAGTTCACTGTTAGGAAACGATGCAGCTTTTTACTTAAATTTCACAGACCCTGAAGGTTTGGTGTGCATAGCTGCATTAAGTATCCACCAGTGACACCCAACATTCATATTTTCTCTTTCCAAGTGTCTCCAAGAAAATTTAGTCTTTCATTCATCCAAGTTAGTGAGATTTGTTGTTGCAATTCTGTGGTAAATCTGAGATTACAAGAATAAATATTATACACAATTAAAAAGTTTAGAGGTAAAGGCTGGAGGGGGCAATCAAATTTTGCTGGGAAGTTCTACAAACTTCCCACAACCTGGGCTATCATTCGACTTACAAGACACTTGTACAAAAACCTTTGTGATCTTTTATAGCTACCGTAGATAAAATAGAAGACTATCTTACTTGAGGTTCTCCATTTCTTGTGGCAAATTGTAGCTCATGAGCTTGGCGAACTTCCTGATGTAGGACTCTCTCGTGAAGGTTATCCTCAGCACCTGGTTTAGGTACCTGTTTTGAGTCATACTTTGATTAAAGATCATGATATATAAAAAAAATAAGCAAATTACAGCAAAATATACAGCGTCTTCACTGTGCTTTGTCTAAGAAAAAAAAATACCCGAAGAAAACAGTCTTTTCTTTTTTAGTCTTCAAAGGAACATAGCACTTCTCAGTATCATGTTTTCTTTCTCCTGAAAATGCCTATAAAATATTTTTGAGGACCATGCAGGTGGGTCCTGTTGACAATAAAAAGGTGACAATACAATCTGTTGACAATTGAAGATCAGAGAAGAGTAATATGGAATATTTTCTGAAAAGCTCTAACTTTTTACAACCCATAAAGTCTGCTTCTGTGTCTATCAGCACCAATAGAGCTGGAAGTTCTTCTCTTCATTCTGGCTCTACAATGTCATAGTAGTCCAGTAAATGAAAATGTCACACAGGCCCTTGGAGCCTAAATACTGTGATAACCTGTACCCCTGGGAAACCAGACAAAATTGGAAGAGACTATTGTAATTTGAAACCACCGATCACTGCAGCTGCCCATTTGACAATGACTCCAGATAAGAACATTAGGAAGTTTGGAAAGGAAAGAAGGCCCTTTGGTCCACTACAAGGCAATACAGGGCTTCCAGCAGATTTATGATCCAAGCATCAAAACCTTCCAAGGGAATCTACATCAACAGCTTGGATTACTAGCTTGTTCCAGACATTGTAGGCATAACCCTTTGAGTCAAGTACCTCTTCCTACATTGGACTGTCTAGAGTCTGAGGATTTGTTTGCTGTCAGCAGCCAAGCAATTCATAAGAAAACAACTCACTTGTCCATTGTCCCAAACAGCCATTTAGGTTCTTTGTTAAAAGGCATCCTCATTCCATGGAACCTGGCCATCTTCTCTGCTATCTCAGCAGATAAGTCTGGTAGTGTCAATTCGCGAGTCTCCAGTTTCCTGCTCTGTAAATGAAATTAGGCCATTGTATGCACTTTAGTTCAGTTTCATTGCTGGATAGGAGTTGTCTTTTATTTACTTCAGTGAAATACGAAATAACATCATCATCATTTCCATGAAATAAAACCTTAACTGGGTGATTGATAAACTAACAATCCTTTATTTAAACTGTAAAAGCAGAGAGCTTTCTTCAAAACACCTTGAGACAATTAAGTAGTCTACCAAAAGCCTTTTCAACTTGGAAACACAATGGTTTGGCAGAAAAAATAAGCTGAACTGTCTTGTCACACTGTTTGTTTTATCAGGGCTAATCTCACTCAACTTCCTAACCATCACAGACCAAAGAATGCTCCATTTTCAACCATGAACAAAACAGAGCAAATTCTATTAGACTCAGTGCTGCTGGGATTTGTGCCAGTTCTGAATGGCTTATTTAAGAAAACCCAGCTAGCTGATGCCCATTTCCTTCTATCAGCCGGTTGCTGGACAAATGGTAATAAGCCAGTTATGTAACTAAAATTAAAAAAGAATGCATATTTTAGGTACTCCCTTTCAGCTCCATTAAATTAATTTAAGCCTCAAATACATTCAAAATGATTTGAGCTTGAATTGGGCAATGCGATACAAGAAACTTCAAGCATTAACACAAGCAAAGCTGGTATTCGCAACTTCAGCTGTTGAGCTGTTGACATCTTTTTAGGCTGGCATTTGTTTGTGCGTTTACTTTTTGTAACCCAAGTCTTTGATATAGCTGGTTAATAGGGGAAAAAAAACAACCAAAAGGCATAAAATGGAGACATATGAGCCTTCAACATACAGTAGAGAGTATTTACAACAAAGTTCTGAGTTTTGGCTTCTGTGCCTGCCATGACTTTGAATCACTTGGCCTTGGTTCTTCTGAACTCTGTCTGCAAATCTTACGATGTAAGTGGGGAAATAGAGGGTTAAAATCTCTTAGCCTAAAGAAGGTGCTAAAATGAGCAATAGGTGTATTTACTAGAATGGTGTGGTGTTAACTAATCAACTGCTAATTCGTACTGTCGTGTGCCTGCTGGTATTCAGCATTTTAAACAATTAGCACTAAGTATTCCAGAGGGGAGGACAGACATTCATTGTTTCAATGTAACCATGCCCTAGTGTTGACTGGTCATGAAGATAATGGCACCAATTGTGTTTAGTCTGTTTCACTGGATTTCAATGAAATATTTAAGTGCCGAACAAGATAAAATAGTACAGTAAAATAGTCTACATTCTAGGAAACCATCTAATGGCATCTCTTGTTGCTTTGAGACCCAAATAAAAATCATTTTTAACCTCATTTCTGATGTTTTCAACATCTCATAATTTGATGGCACTATGAAAAAATGAAAGATGCTTTTGTGCACGAGTACACAGTGCTCGACAAAGCTTGGAACAACACGGAGCAAAGCTGAGCAAGCAGGCTGCCACCACGTTCCCACATAGCAACTCACAGGAATGAACTGCTCCAGGCGCCCCTGAGGAAAGATGCCATACAGTTTCGGGCCCAGTTCCCTCTCTGCCAAAATGGCAAACATAACACTCTCCAGCACCACGGCTTCAGCTCCCTGGAAAACAGAAAAAAAAAACAGCAAAGATCAACCCCCAGCCAAAGAGCAGAAACCACTGCAGACTCAACTTGTTCTTCTGTGTCAAAAAAGCTTTGGTCAGTGACTCATGTTTTATCTTTTACAAAAACCGTAGATCACCTAAAGCGTCTGGAGAGACCTTTGTAAGTCAAAGATGAAATAAGTGAGGCAGAAACAATGCTGAAATGTTCTATCGTTGACCTGATATTATTTGTTAGTATTCAACAGCTGAAACCCAGCACCCCATGCTCAAAATAACACTAAATGATAAAAAAAAACATGAACTGCAAGATGATGTAGCTGGCATGAAAAGCTCGTAGTAATGCAAAAAACTATTCCGGTTTTTCAGTGATTGGTTGTTAACCATGATTTCTGCAGCACTATTGATTCGTTATTATTAATAATTGCTTACACTTATATAGCGCTTTTCTGGACACTCCACTCAAAGCCCTTTACAGGTAATGGGGACTCCCCTCCACCACCACCAGTGTGCAGCCCCACCTGGATGATGCGACGGCAGACATACTGCGCCAGAACGCTCCCCACACACCAGCTCTCAGTGGGGAGGAGAGCAGAGTAATTTAGCCAATTCATAGATGGGGATTATTAGGAGGCCATGAATGGTAAGGGCCGACGGGAAATTTGGCCAGGACGGTGGTGTTACACCCCTACTCTTTGAGAAATGCCCTTGGATTTTTAATGACCACAGAGAGTCAGGACCTCGGTCTTACGTCTCATCCGAAGGACAGCACCTTTTTTATAGTATGGTGTCCCCGTCATTATGCTGGGGCAGTAGGATCCACATGGGCCGCAGGGTTAGTGCCCCTGCTGGAACACTTCTTCCAGCAGCACCCTTAGTTTTTCCCAGGTGGTCTCCCATCCAGGTACTGACCAGCCTCACACCTGCTGAGCTTCAGTGGGCTGCCAGGTGTGAGTTGCAGGGTGATATGGCTGCTGGCAATATTAAATTATTAAAAAGTACAAAGGCAAAGCTGTGTATTTGTACTATTATAGGAGACAAAAATCCAGAGAATTTAAACTACAGTTTTTAACTTTGCCATAGAGGAAAGATGTGGTGAATATAGTGTCACACATAAAGGGCACACTTTGTGGACTGTTACTACCGTCTTCAAAAAAAGACAAAACCCTAAGCACAGCTGCAAAGTCAGACTTAGGCAGGTGGTCCATAGTTTTTAAAAATAAACATAAAAGCATTTGAAAGAACTGTTTTCCACCTTAAACTACAAAGCCAATTTACTGTGCTTAAAAACCAAAAATTACTTCAAAACATGCCTCAAATAACATCATAACTGAGGGCAGGGGGAAGAAGAGCTGAATTGCGTTATGCTTAATTAAAGAAGTTTAATGCCGTCAATATTCTTCTCCACATCACAGCCTCACTGGGCGAATGGTGATTACGTGGTAAGCTTGCTTTTAATTACCATGTTACAGTTAAAGTGAATACCATAGACACTGCAGAGTGCACAGAAATGAATTAAAAGCACAATGCACACATATCCTGTTAAAGTTCACGGCAGTGCAACATCTTCGAAACAGATGCAAATGCCAGTTAAGTGGAATTTCCCCATGTCTCTTCCTGGTTTGACTGAGGCGCTAGTTCCTTGTGCATCCAGTCAGGAAATGTTGTGCAATAGTTCCTGATTTATCAAGTGTCCTTTTAGACCAGGCACTCACAAACAGTCCAAAGGGAAACCATGTTTGCCACAGTTGCTCTGTGAATACCCAGCTCAGTTAGCTTCAGCTGGGCATAGCACTTCCAGTGATTAATCTGGATCCGTTATGAATGAGATTGTGTCGTTCACATAAAATAACTTCACAACGGTGTTAAAATATTCACTCCCTCAAAATCAGCATTTTAAATATCTTAATAGTAAATCCAGTTCACAACCAAATTAACAGAACATGTCTTCTTAAATCCACCAATTTATCACTCTCCTGTCGTCTTCATGTGCTGACAGGACTCAGACTAAACCTCCTAAACGCATTACCCTGCAGGAATACAACTGTAATCCTACCAACACACCTGGCCTTTAAACAAATGCACACAGGGAGAAAATGTTTAAGGGCAGTACCAGACCAAGAAGGCCAAAAAGAGTTTCACACAGTGACAGTCCATTTTTTAAAACGAATTTTTTACTACCCCAGCGGATATTTCTAAATAACATTGAAGCGACAGGTTTCAGTTTCCATTTAACTATTCTATCCACAAAGGAAGCACAGCAGACAGAAAACATCCTAACTTTGGCACAGTACATCAGTCCCTCAAAACCATCTGCCAGAACTTCATCTGTAAGACTAAAAACTTCATCTAACCTTGTTAGAAACTTCTAGAATCTATAGTTTAAAGATTTGTCAGGGATTATTCGTTTTTTTATCTCAAATTATGAACTCCATGGTGACAGCTGTCAGACGAGACTTTACTGGAATGCAGTAATTAATTTCCATTTATATTCCTTTAAACTTAAGCACAAGCTTTTAGTGTCCCTAAACGCAACTTGGACTATTTTGTATGAAATTAATAATTAATTCTTGCATTAATATAGTACTTTCCAACCTGAAGGATTTGAAAAACATGAAGACACTTAAAAAGGGTCTACACTTTGAAATGTTGCATTACTTTTACTTTTCACAATAGAATTAACCTTCTCTTACTCCCCAGTTACGCATGATATAAATACTGTATGGTACTGTATGTTTCTCACAAAACAACTTATAATCCTTACAACCTTACAGGGGGCAGCAGTTACATTTTTCCACTCACACCTTCACAACATGCGGTCATGTTTCTCACCGAGAATGACTGAACTTTGGCAACACACACGACTGCACTAAATACCACAAAATGGCTCCTGCCACGCCGGGCAATCATGGGACCTGCTCGTGTGCCAACTCCTAAAAGTGAAAAATGAGCTTATCAGAATGAAAACTTGAGAATGATTAGACTTGACAATAAACTGCTTACTGGGGGGGGGACATAGGAAAAGTTAACAGTCTTTAGCTCCGTGGATTTTGATTTAATCCCCAGACTCAATTGGGAATAAACACACTTGTGTTATTACTCATTTTAAAATCAATTTAAAATCAATCTAGGCTAACAATAATTCATACAATTAATTCTCAATTTAAAATACAAACCAAATACACTAAAGTAGTGAACTAATACTAGTATTAACTCAAAACTCATTAAAATGAATATAGCACAACATGTAGTACTCATGCAGGAATGAAGTTACTACGTGCAGAATGTAGACCAGTTGTCCTTTCACTAGCACTAAAGAACAGGAAAGAAACTTTCAGCAGGAAGTCTTAAAAGAATGTTCCTTTTAAAACAATGTGTACTCCCCTCCACCAGCTCATTTCTCATTCAAGCAGTGCCAAAATGCACCAGGCAACAATTCTTCAGTTATATAGCTGCAGAGCAACTGAACTTTCTGCCTCATTTAAAAATGCCAGGTCTATATAAGCACACTTTGTAAAACAAACACTGTATATACAGTACCAAAGTGCTAAATAACAGCATGAATACAGCAGTGTGAGACTGCCAGCACCTCATACCTCTCAGCCCTCGACGCTCCAGTACTCTCCACAGATGTACATGACCATACTATAAACACTACCCTAGGCTGTGATGCCAACTCATTAAAGGAAAACTGTGTACTGCTCAAGTTAAATGCAAATGAATGGAAACATTCAAACATGAGGTAAAGTGCTATAATACTCTTTTATGAACAGGTGTCACAACAGCCATTATCGGCAACACTCAGGGTTCTGAAACATGTTTTTTCTGAACTTTTGGAGGAAAAAAAATGGTGGTAAAGAATGAGGCAAAGTGAAATGATATTTTAAAGCCGCAATAAAGTACAAAGCAGTCAAAAGTAGTCAAGCATTACTCTATTGTTTCTTCACTAGACAATTACTACAAACATGCCTAAACAATGCAGGGCATGAAGTCAGTCCTTCCTTTTCTACACATTGAGTTTTATGTTGCATAAAAATCTTGCCTCTCTCCTACAACGACGGGGCTACTCAAGACATATTAATACAACAAACACACAAGGTGAAGGAGATACAAGGTCCTGATGATGTAGACGGGTAACCTAACTGACACCCGATAATATTGAGGCAAAGAATGGATTATCCTCTAATAGGATGCCTGCCAGTAATCACAGGTGTTCAGAAACACTAATGTAATTATTTGCATACATGATGTAAAGCCTGGGCTTACAACAGGGCTGTCCTGGTCCGGGAGGGCTGAGGTGTCAACTCCGTGCTCAACAACCTACAGCAGCTAGATACTTGCTTAAATACTGCTGCCCCACAGTGCTGGGGCTCAGGGTTCCATTCCAGACCTAGGGTGCCACATGCATGGAGTCGGTATGTACTTCCCATGTACACATGGGTTTCCTCCCACAGTCCACAGACATACTGGTAGGTTAACCAGGTTCTGGGAAAACTGGCCCTGGTGCGAGAGTTAGCATGTCCTGATGTCTATTTGTTTCCTAGGATGGACTGGAGTGCTGTTTAGGGTGTATCCTGCCTTACACCCTTTCTTGCCAGGATAGGCTCTGGCTCCCCTGTGGCCCTGAACTGGATGAAAAGGTCTGAAAATGGTTGGGATGGACTGAAATCCTGCAGAATCATCTGCCCTCCATGACCAGGAGTGAACACCTCTAAGTTAAAGAACAGTGAAGTCCAGGGCATGGGTCTCACATGTGCAAATCAAATTAGTGTTGTGCGCCATATTGTAAATACTGCACAAAGCTTACTTGTGCTTCTCACCTATGTCACTGATTCTCCTTCGACATCCAGATTGATCACTGAAGTGCTTCAGTCATACCACTGCATGGCCTCAGTAAACTGCCCGACTCATTTTCCTATGATCGCATTTCTACAAATTTGTTTTGCAAAGTCCTCCTAGTCTAAAGCAAAACAGCAGGCAAAAACAGAATGTTATCCTCATGACATTTAACATATACTTTTTTTTTAAACCGAGATAGAGAAAATAAAAGCATTGCGATGTGATCTCGAGTAAAAGTAGAGTAAATGGGTGGAAAGATGGCTTTTTCAGAAGTTCCTTGTAAACCTTGGCCATTTCAAAAACCACATTACCTGCTTCTATAAAATGGCGCAGTGCATTAGTAAACGGTCATCCCATGAAAACTCCAACGTAACATCTTACAAAAATGATAAGACTGGCCTTCTATTGAGGAAAAGATAAATTTAATAAACACTGAGATGGCTCCAATTGGAGTTTGGGATTTATTTTCTCTGACCGAATTCAATATGTAGCCGTTTTCTCCATCCAACAATTTTCTAACCACGTCTTCCAATGCAGGGTCTCAGAAGAGCCAGAGCCTATCAGAGGCCTCAAGACAGGGTACTGTACATCCTGGAAGGGACACCAGTCCATTGCTGGGTGCACACATAGACACACACCAGGACCAACTAACTTATTCGCATGTCTTTGGACTATGGGAGTAAACTCCAAACACCCCAAGAAAACCAACATGGACACAGGGAGAACATACAAATTCCACACAGATTGGCACCCCACAAATTGAACCCCGGACCCAGTGTTGAGAAGGCGCAGTGCTAACCACCAAGACACCCAGCTCTTTTCTCATTTTAACCTTTTCTCTCAAGTTTCGTTTCCTCCAGGCCGATATCATTCTTCTGGACCAAACCACATTAATTTTCTGATGGGGGGAGGGGAAGCTTCCTTGCTTCTCCTTTTTCTTAAAACAAAAATCGTATTTCTTCCAATTCTATTCGTTACTCCACTTAATCCACGTACAGTGCAGAGTACTGAGAAGCGCAGGAGAGGCAAATACAACATCCATTTCCTCCCCCCAGCGCCAATATCTGCTATCAGACAGAGAGCACTTCTTGAGGTGTCTCAGTCATTCACCAAAACCCAGCCTTAAGAACATAAGAAAAGTTACAAAAAGCAAGGAAACCATTCGAGCCACTTAGCAATTAGTAGTTAACTTAGCCACTGATCCCATCTCGCCCATTTCTTCTAAAAGAAACCAGGGTGTTTCCTTCAACACTGCTGTGTAGTTTGTTCTATGCTCCCACAAGCCTTTGGGTAAAGACGTCCCTGCTGTTCTTGGACTTTCAAATGCAGCTCCACAGTTCCCACTTGTGGCCTCTGGTTCGTGTTCCATTGTTCTTTCCCAAGCAGTCCACTGGATTGACTTTCTTAATGTCTTTGAGGATTCTGAATATTTACAACAGGCCTCCTTGTAATTTTCTCTGTTCAAGACTAAAAAGGTTCTGTATCTTCAGCATGTCACTGTAGGGCATTCCTCTTGTTAATCATGTGACTGCCCCACACCTCCCCAAGAAACTATGCCTTAAGGGCTTTTTTTGATCCATTTAGGAGGAAAAAAAACCTTTTTAAAAACAAAATGAAAGCCCAAAATACATAAACTGAGAATGTAGCTTCATTAATGTTAACGTCATGCGGCAAATTTTTTAAAACGCGATTTCATAATTTGAGCCAACTTTACATAAATAAGGCCAAAAGGTAATCCTTCTTTAAAGAAATTTAAATAATGAAACTGGGAAGTATAGGACAGATGAGACCTTTATTTTCATGTTCAAAATATTTTTCAGATTGGCAGCCCTGGCAGTAAACAAAAACTGCATACTTGCATCAAGGAAAGGAATGTCTGTACACCCGTGCTCCAAGTTCCTATGAAATTCCAAAGATTAGTGAAGCTGCCCTTCAAAATATCCCCGATGCTCAGGAGAATGTAAGGAATGTCAGTGCTAACAGGAACATTCCTTTTGATCTCCCAAGGAGCGCAGCTTCATATCCAATTAAATGGGACCACTTTGCTCAAATAAAAATCTGCTACTACCAGAAAGTAAACGAAAAGGGAAGCAAAAAAGCCACTGTCTTCTACGCCTGCAAATAGAATTGCATTTTTAAACACATCATTGAAAGACATTCACAACACAAATCGGGATATTACTCTTAATGTGCCTTTGATAACACTGGAGATTGCAATAATCCAAGTTTACCATGTTACATTTCTGAGCATTTTAATACACAGTGGAATCGGTTAGTTCAACAACAAGAGGGTGTAGCTGTCATTTGGGTTTTTGTTTTATACACCCTGCTAGTCGGGAAACAATAACAATTATGTGTGGACTCATGCCACGCCTTCCTGTGGGCTTGTGAATACGTGCCATTTTGAACCATTCGCCCATGAGGCGCGTCTGTCTGTGGGCCGACTCCACGCAGTGCCTCACAGGAGAGTGCGAGCACATCGAGGAGCGGGGAGCCCCCAGGCACCCAGGGCAGTAACGGCGGAGGGGGTGTGAGACCAATCCCAAGCCTACCCCCAGTGACCCTGCACGGACACCTGGGGAATTCCAGTTGCAGGCCGGGGACTGTAACCTCCTCATAACTCAGAACAATTCCCAAAATACAACAGCTTCTCATTTAAAACGGCATACATCTTCTCAAAGGTTTGATATTCAGAATGCATAGGAAGCAAAATAAAATCATTTTCTAAGGCCTCCCTGTTATATCATACAACAGTTCAGTAATCCTTTCAGGTAGATGTGGCTCCTACAGGCAGCGGAATGAATAAAGCTGGGTTAAATGGAGACTCTGATATTCAGGCAAAAAAAAGTTAAAACACCCAGGACAGTTAATCCTTTGTTACACACCTTCAACCAAATAAACGCTTGACACCACCACCTTAGATTTACAAGCTTTGAAGTGCTCAGGAAGAACACTTGCCTCAATATTTACACCGGTTCTGGGGAAAAAAAAAAACTCTGCCCAGTAAGTTACTTACTTGAAAGTGATTTTCTTTGTTTGCCTGTGTGGGTTCGCCTTTATTACAGGACATCTATCAATGAAAGAAAAAGCAAGAGACTAGCCGTGAGTACATTGCGTCTGTCTTATATCAAGGTCTTCACACACGGAGAAAAAACACAGGCCCCACCCCACCCCCTCCCCAACAAAATAATCACTTAGAGGGACAGACTGTGAAAGCAGTCCCATATTAAATATAGGTCTCTTTCTTTTGCAGCAGGACTGTAATATTTACTTTTTAATTTGATTTTAATGCCTTATGTTTACATTTGCCTATTAATCTCCCTGATAAGGACGTGTGGAGAGACGTATTTGTTAAGGTAGAAATATTTAAATGTGAATTAAACATCAGCTAGAACTCTAACAAAAAAAACACATATGCAGCAGTAGCAATTTGTGTATTAGTTCGATGCTGGAATTCAACTGTAAAGCTTAAGAAAGTACAGAACCTATTTGTGTGACGCAAAATTAAAATCTCATTAAGATAAAAAAAAAGACTACAAATTCCTCTGTAGACTGGTTGAAGAACCATCACTGTAACGTGTTATGAATTTATGGTCAGGTTATTATGAAAAGCATGTTGCAGCTAGTTTCCTTCTAAACTAAACCAACACTGCAATATGGCACAGAAACCCATTACGGACTTAAAATAAACCTCCGAAGTGGATGGCCAAGCCAGGGTTGCCTTAGTGAAGGAAGTGCTTCTTTTACAAACAGAAGTTGCTTCAAATAACTGGACGAATTCTTCTGTTCTGGAGATGAGGTCCCCCTCAATTCCTTATGCTAGACACAGCCAAAATATGGGCCAAAATATGGGCCATGAAACAAAAAGCATGAGAACTTCACAAGTGATACATCAAGACCTAAATACTCCTTACAAATTGCTTTGGCAACACAGACAGACTACAGGGTAGCTAGTAGTGTAATTCTTTCTACATAGTACTCTACAGTTAAGAGCTCATTTGCTGAAGGATACTGCAGTATTGAAAGCTACTCTTTACTCTCTAGTCTTCTTCTCCGCTCAGGTGAACATGAAAGTCTTCATGAAAGCAGCGTGTCATGTCCATGGAGATGGTGCTCCGGAGTATAGTCATAGTCATATTAAGTATAGTCATATGACTTCAGCCACTCATGGAGCAGAGCTCTGTGTGCCAATCTGGATTACCAGCAAGCCATTAGACCAAATGCACGACACTTGAGTAATAAGGTCATATGATTCAATGATGTCACCAAGAAAATGACATCATAGTTTTGGTCTGTTTTTTTAAGTTACATAAATAGGCTGTATACAAACTACAAAATGGGACCACTACTAGGAAAATACCTCAACTTACTGCTACATGCTTTTCATTACAAGATCAAGTGAACATTTTTGCTTTAGCTTCTACTACAGCTAAGCTCAATTTCATGCCTTTCGGCATCATTTCAATTTGAAGATTTTATAAAAATAGACTCAGAAAAGATTATATCAGGAGTATTTTTACATTTTGCCTCGTCAGCCATCTGAAACTTTAAATATTCACAAACTGCTGTACTTTTCATAAAAAGTTCCAATTATGCATTTAAATAGTGTGGACAACTGCTACCGTCCAATGTGTTAGTACGTTTTTTTTCCCCCCAATTCTCTCCAAGTGTTTTCCTTGATCGCAGAGCATCTTGAGGATAAACCTCTGGCTTTTACATCAATGAAACATGCGCCAATACTAATATTTCAGTCACTGGCCAAATGTATGAAACAATAATTAAAGAAAGAGGTGTATAGCTATTTAACTGCCTCTTGACAGAAGTCTAGCTGTCTAGGTTGATAAAGAAGATTAAAGGTAGTGCTGCAACTTCAGAGATCTCATACTGTACCGTGTGTGGTATCGTGTCTGTCACCTGGAAACAAGAGTGCTCAAGGCACCATCCTTTCGGAAAGCCTACGGCAAAGAACACACGCATGTACAGCCATGGTGATACATCACCCCACAACAAACTTAGCCCCACATTCAAGCAGCTCACATGCAGTCACTACGCTGACACACAGGAAGAGCTCTCCTCCTCCTGCACGCACCAAGAGCGCAGAAAGGCCGGCTTTATTTCCTTCTGCCACAGAAACCCTTTCAGGCATATAAAGGTAGAAGGAATCGTTCTGTTTTTGGTCAACTTGCTTATTTTAAATTTAAACTTAATACAAGGATACCAAACGTGTAGTGGTGATCCAATTAATCATTTCTCTTTTCGCTTTCTTCCAATATGTTGCAAACGACATTCTTGATCGCAAATAAAAAGTGAAATGCAGAATTCCCACCAACCAAATGTAAAGTACGGAAATGAACAGAATTTCACTTCATATGCTTTCACTGCCCAAGTGCACATTTTAATGTATAAGCTTGTTAAAAAATACAGCCGAGAACAGTGTGAGGGTTCACAATGCAGACAAGTGTCAACACTGAGTGCATTCCATATGGTGGAGAACTCTGCCATTAAAATGTATTTGTAGTTTTAAAAGATCTCATTTTATTTATATATTTATGAAATGATTGCTCTACAAGCAGAGCCTGTATCTGCCAATATTTCATTTGTTGCTGCTTTTGAAATAACAGAACGTCTTTTCTGTTTTACAAACATCTTGAGGTTCAGTATAGTCAGAAATATGAACTGACCTATACAGACGACAAGCCAGCTATTATGCATTAACGACTTAATTATTAATATTATTAACTGCCCACTGCTCCCATTTGAAGGGCACTGGATACTGGAATTTGAACTGAAAGGAGAGGGAAAGTCAACAACCTCCGATATTCTCATTGTGCCAATCACTCGGCACAGGAAAAGTGCCCTGGAGAAAGTGAGACATGGTCAGCCCTCAGCCAGTCCATTATTCACTGGGACCTGCAATAGTCAACAAGCATCCATCTCCCAGCCCAAGCTTCCACTCTCAAACCCTGAACATGCACGCGTGCTCTCATAAAACCGCGAGCTCCAGCAAGAACGAACCAGGACCTTTCTTGAACATTTAACAGGAGCTACTCCCAGAAACTGTTTTTTTAATGTATTTCCCCCCCCCCGCCCCCCAAGTTGTTTGAGACAAAAACTTAAACATTACAAAAGACATTAGGAAAAGAAATTGCAGATTAATAGGAACATGGTGTAATACATCAGCAACAAGCAGTCAGAACACAAACGAGAGCAGAACCTCAAGTTTATTGACAACATACAATAAGCACTTGCCCACAGCCTATGGCTCCATAATTTAATGGCATAATGAATAATTTACATTCAGATGTCACAACATGATAAAACAGATTATTAAACAAATGCTCCACCCACCTTCAAAACTTAAGTTTTTTTTTTTAATGAAACCAGGAGATTTTTATTACATTTTATTTTGCATACTACAATTTTGTGCATGAATATTCACCAGAAACAGACTAATAAGGGAGCCTTTTGCTGAAACTGAGAAATGTATGCGATGTAGAAGATATTTTCCATCCTCCTGAACCTGGATTTGTTTTACTGTAAATTCTGGTTTTGGAGTGTTCACAATTTTTAAGTGGGGAATTTGTATCATTTGCGATTCCACAGCCATCTCTAAAGGATATGTGTAATGAACAGTCATACACTGTAAGTCAACAAGCATATGATACCACTTACATTTCATACAGACTGGTTATTGGGGGGGGGGGGAACCCCTATAATCACGTCAAATCTATTTCAACAATATATCGCTGACTTTTTTTTTCTCACCCCATTCAAGAGTCTCTTTTTCCAAACGATCTCAAAGTCAAACGGTAATAAAACAAGGTCCCGTGTCAACGAGCTGGGGTTCTTACACCCCGGTCCCGGCCAGACTCACCTGCAGAATTGCACCATACAAGCGGAGAAGCACATTGCGGGGTTCATCAGCTACAGTTCCTTGACTTTCGGGCAACGAGCACAAGAAAAGCATGTTGCTGAGGCCTCCCCTGTTGTAAGTGAAAGGATGTTATTAAAGATCGAAAAATTGCACAATAGTTACCAGGGCAGGCTATATTCTTGGGCGTAGGGCACCTCCAGTACAACATTCATAAGACTCAACCCATTTCTGTGTTCCGAGACGCTCATTTTCATACAGTTAAAAAGAAAAAACGTTGGTCACAGAGGGTACTGAGCTGGAATGGAGACTTCCACACGTCGGAAAGCTAAGCTTTACACTTAAACCCTCTCTGTGTGTGACTTGGAACTTTGCCCGTTCAAAAGAAACGGGGAAAAAAAAACTTTCCTCTTGAAATACCGCATCAGATTATCACGTGAAAACGTTACACGCCCTATATTTAGCAAAAGAATTTCACACATTTCTGCGAAGATACTCAAAATACAGGAATCGATGTTGCCTGCGGATATTGAACAATAAACACGTCTTATGTACTCAAATAGCACAACTTAAAGATACATTGTTGAAGGCATCACCAGTAAACCTAGACTGGTCTACCTCAGCGGATCGCACAGCGCGGCGGAAAACTGGTAGCACCGTGTCTACTGATTGAGGTTTTTTTACATGTTCATCAATGGCCACCTGAAATTGAGCAAAAACGGATTTCTCTTAAAATGGAAACTGAAAAGCTGAACGTGGGAGCTGCGTATGGCTTTGTACAAAAAAAAAACATCACTTCCTACTCCCACCCCCTTTCTTAACCAGAAACGCAGACGCAAATGTGTCTGGTTAAAGCGCAACATTAATGGCAAGAATGTCGAAAACGGCTCTCTGGAGGAACAAGGAAACGTCGCCTGCAGGTGGACGGAGCAGCCACACCGACACGAGGTGACCAAAGCCACAACAGGAGAGCCCACGCCGCCAAGCCCCCTCAACATCTGGTACAGGACGGGGGTTACCTGATTATGCTGATCTGGAAATCCTCCTCTCTCAGTGTTTTCCACGCACCGTGCAGGAATTCCTTGCACCACAGGACAGCCTTGCGCTTGGTCTGCAGATCGGGCTCGTCGGCGAGGACGATGTCTTTGCACTCGGGCTCGGGGTCCGGCTGGACGTGCAGCTCGCTGGAGCTCACCAGCAGACCGAGGGACATGGAGGGAGAGGACGAGACCCCGTTAATGAACTTGGTTTTCATTGTTGGTTGTTGTCTTGGAGAAGGATCGGGAGGAAAGATGAAAGAGAGGATATCTGCTGAATGGAACGCGTTTTATATAAAAAAAAGATTTTATGATCAGTCTTTTTTTTTAAATTACAGTCGATTCTCTTTAGCACACGCTTATAAACTAAAAGTAATACTGATTTTTTTCCTATTGTCCAACAACCTAGCAAAAAGAAAATTCCAGAGACTTGGGGGAGTTTTTAAACGATATCCTGTGTCTCTCTCACACCACACACACACTGCAGCAACTGAATTGATTGAATGTGCGCAGCCCGTTAAATACCACAAGCGCTCTGCTGCTCGATTGACGCACCGATTGGGTTTTACATTCCTGACGTCACGCCACCACGCCTTTGATTCTCGCCCCTTCTTTGGCATGTGATATCATAGCCTATCAAAATCAATGGGGACCGACCTTGGGCACATAACACTGCGTAGCAGCAGCTGGCTCTGTGCTGGGCGAGTGTTGTCTGAGATGTTGATGTGGAGGGACTTCATGTTCTCTTTACGTAAATACGGCTTTCTCCCACGGTTCAGGCGGGAGATTGTTGCCGTTTCTCTATACAACCTGGGGGCACTGAAGGAACTACGTGACACAGTCTGGGGGGCGTTGCTGTGACTCTGTGCCTGTGGCTGGAATGTGGCCGGCAGAGAAATCCTACTGCGTTGGGCCCCTGAGCATGGCCCTTAACCCCAACTGCTCCAGGGGTGCCGTATAAACAGCTGACCCTGTGCTTTGACCCCCAGCTTCTCTCTCCTCGCCTGTGTGTCTCACGGAGAGCAAGCTGGGGTATGCAAAAAGACAAATTCCTAATACAAGAAATTGTATATGGCCAAGGAAGTGATCTTATTTACCTGGACAGTTTGTACTTACTGTAGAGGTGGAGTCACGTACTGTATAATTGCTAACCAAGCAAACTTTATAGGACGGCATGATCTGTTGTTCAACAAAATACACCCATTGCCACAGCATACCCTATTAAAATGAGATGTTCCATTGTCTCAGTTCTTACACTCCTATCTGAAATATAAATGATAATGGTAGCCTTATAAGGCGTCTCCTACTTTTATGGAATTGATTCTTGACTATTTATTCTGAATGAAGAACTGTAACCTGGGTATCCTTATATAAGTCGTGCCAAAGACCAGAAAAAAATGGATATAATAATGATATTCAGTTTCAGGTACGCCTTCCAATTAACGTCAGCTACTATTAGTGATTCCTGCTAAGCTTAGAGGGTTGTATGCCGACAGAAGTCATACTGCGTAACTAAGGTGAAGACTAAAATCCTAATAGGAAGAAATTAACCTGGAAGCTGTGTTTTTATCATGCTGCACCACAGCAGGACAGTTGTGTCAACGTCAGATGTACACTTCAGACACCCAGCACTGAGTGGTCTTTCTTCATGTGAGACAGGCCTGTTATTGAATGGAGTTCAACATTGTTGCCTTGGCGACAGGCGCCACCTATACTGGAATAGTATTGCATTTTTTGTGATGTTCTTAGACTTGTTAAAATTTCTCCTCCTGTGTACTTAAAACAGTCCAGACAGATGTAGTGAGTCAGGGCGGCGCTGCTGCCTCCTCACAGATCCAGGGTCCTGGGTTCGATTCTGGCATGCTTGGAGTTTGCATGTTCTCCTGCATGCATCTGGGTTTTTCTTCAGGTGCCCCATCAAACTTTCCAAAGATCTGCTAAGTACACTTAATAGGCTCTTTTTCATTTTCTTGTTGGCCTTTAATGGACTGGTGTCCCACCCAGAAGGAGGGGAGTCTTCTGCTCTCAGACCTGCCTCTCAGCCTTGTTGATAAGATAAGATAAGATAAGATAAGATAAGATAAGATAAGATAAGATAAGATAAGATAAGATCACATCACCTTATTAGCCATATACAATTTCTTGCATTAGGAATTTTTCTTTTTGCATACCCCAGCTTGCTCTCCATGAGACTCACAGACAGGGAGAGAAGCTTGGGGTCAGCTTGCCATTTAAACGGCACCCCTGGAGCAGTTGGGGTTAAGGGCCTTGCTCAGGGGCCACAAAGGGTAGGATTCCTCTGTTGGCCACAGGATACAAACCAGCAACCTTCCAGCCACAGGCACAGATCCAGAGCCACAGAGCCACCGCTCCACCCAGATAGTAAGGGGTTACTCAAAAAAATCGAAATTATTAATACAATTTCCTTGAATATTGATTGCACTTTTTTAGTCCATTAAACCAAAAACGTCAAGAAATTATTTAAAATATACCTTTGGCGTGAAGCTCTCAATTCAACTTTTGTTTATTGGTGTCCTGAGGTGATTGCTGATGTCTAAAAACTGTCAGTTGTTCACATCTGCTCATACAGTACCTAGAGTTACAAAGTACGAACCATTAGAATGTAGAAAATGTCAAAAAACAGGCTCTGCAGAGACATGTTGATATTCATGTAAGTGTTAAACTGTTGATTTATGGCATGCGGAAGCCATATTGATATTTCAAGAAACATTTCAATCATTTTTGTGTTTTCTTATTTTTCTAAAAAGGTAAACTCTCAAGAGAGCAGTTAAAAATACAAGATACCTTTGCTTTATTCTGGTAAGGACATTTATGATAGGGACAAAGTAAGTCTAGAAACCAGCTTTATTGCCATTTTTTGCTCATTAAATTGAATAATGAAAACACTTTTTCCAGAAGCTTCTAATTTGTTATGTTTATTCTCGGCTCATTCTGTACTATCACTGTGTTGATAAGTGGACTTTATTACACTACTGGCTGTGTGAAAGTTATTCAAGTGCCCTGATGGCAGACCCGGGTCAAAGCAGAGTGTGCCAAACATTACATGGAGTGGGCTCTCCAGCCTTATACAGTCTTAAGAAGAGCCTGTAAAACCACTGATAAGGCATTTGAACAGTAATTTCAAAGGCAACGTCAATGGTGAAACACTGCAAGGAGTTTTTTCAAGATGATTCTTAACATTGACCTTTACTGGTTCCAAGCATTTAAAAATAAAGTTAACCATAACCATTTATTAATAGAAAACAAATATGTTAAACATACTGTACAATTCCACCAGCTACTAGACATTTTTTTAAAGATTTAAAAAAAACTTTAAATTTTAAAGGATCTTTAAACCTTAAGGATTAAGGTTATGTGCTAACACTTTATAGTTGTTTACTTTTTTAATGCCCCGCCATAGTCCTTCCTTTATTCTTTTTTTGTTTCTTAGCTCTGTTTGCATTCTTACAACTAGACTGCTGTTCTCCACATATTAGAAAATGACTGCAGCATACTGCATAATTGCGTAATATCAAATATCACATGTTTATGAATGTGCACTTCCCTCATTCCCATTGCAAAGGAATCGTAAACAGAAATGATAAAAGTTTTGTTGTTTTTTCTCTCCCGTTACTGGCACAGTATATTCATTCATGTGATCAAGGCCGACTGTTCACTGGTTGCTGTTCTCTTACCTTGTCCTCTGTCAAGGCCTGTTTTTGTTTTCACATATAATAATGGATATTGCCATTTTAAAGAAAAAGAAGGCTGTTCTTAATAATGTCTATTTAAAAATAAGGAATGTTCTTCAGTCAGTCCCAGTATTCACTGGGAGGCCAGTTAATAAAGGGAAACACAGAACTGATTTTGAGACAACCAATTCTTACTTAAGGGTGAAATAAAGGTATCTTTCTTTGCATTACTGTAATTACGTTATTTGTTACTGTATTAACAAACAAGGCTATAGCCTTGTGCTTAAGTCATCATTCTCTGTTATTAATGGGTGTTGTCTTTTACAGTGTGCGAGTTACTCACTGTTGTTGGCCACTGTTTACTTGTGGTTATGGAAGAATGCTTTTGTGACTTCTCTTACAGTTGTGTTTATTTGTGAGCTGTCCGGGGTGTATCCTGCCTTGTGCACCTTGCTTGCTAGTCTCTGGCTCCCCCACGACCCTGGATTGGGTAGGGACATTAGACAATTAATGGATTGATAATTCTTATTTAAATAAAACATACAGACCTCCTGCTTCCAACAGTCCACCTTAATGACAGATTACATTTATAAAGTGTTTTTTTACCAAACATCCAAAGAGTAACTTGTCGAACTTGGAAAATCTCACACACTACATCTAGAAGTGTCACCCCTTTTCTATAAATAATGCAGGTGGTCCAGCATGTTGTCTTGAAAATAGGTATTCATATTAATATAGATCAAATATTTTAGATTTTCCTCATGAGGAAACAACACTCCATAACGAAAATGCTTTAATTAAATAAATTATTTTTAAGCCCCTCCCTTGAAGGTCTGGCAGTGAGTACACACAAAGGAATGTTCATCTTTTAGATTGAGCTACAATCTTTCAACTGCTGCACTACAGGAATTTTGAGGATTACTTCAGCTAGCTGTTTCATAGGGCCAGCATTCAACAATTCTTATTGAAAACATGACACCCATCTTGTTTTGCCATAAAATGTATTTATGTAATCATACTTTTGACAAAGCAAATTGAAATCAAGGTTTATATGAAGTTTTTTTTTTTCTGTGGTTGTGTGTGCACAGTGAAAAGGTGAGAATTCCCATCACTTTATTTTTTTTTTGTAAGTGGTGAAACAATTTTAAGTTTTAAAAAACTGTTCAGAGGATATTAATGGACTACAAAGTAAAAATGAAATACTTGTGTGACTATATTGGAGATACGAGGATAGCTATCATTAAATAAAAGCAAACACTTTCATTCTACTCCAGTATTTCAACACAGTGAGAGTGTCATTACCAGCTTATGTCCTGATTTAATCAGATCTTAGAAGCATCACAAGGCCTTACTACTTTATCTCTAAGTTGGGGGTGAGTTGAGTTGAGGTTTTCATTACAACTCTTTTCCTGACCTACATCAGCTCATAGTTGTCTTATTGGGCCAATTTAACACCACCTCCCAGGTCTCAGGTAATGCTGCTTTGAAGAGATCTTGAACCCCTGCAGACACAGCAGCCCCCACGAACAGCTCTGCACACCTCTGCTGTAGGGCAGGGAATCCCAGTGCAGTAGCTTAATGACAAGCTCCAACACCTTTAAGAGCTGGGAGCAATCCACCCTTTCATATTAATCCAGTTATTAAGGCTGGTGTTAATCACCTGTGTAACTGTAACTGAGCAGCTATGTGGTCCTCCAAAACTGTGGTCTTGGAGAGGTTGTTCTCCTTTCATATCCAGTATGTTTAGTAAGTTTCCATCAAAGATTGTTCTAAAGATCTAAACAGGCAGTTTGTTAAAAGAATTGATCTGGTCATCATCTTTCAGGACACAGGGTCAGTTCTGCCTTAACAGAACAGATGACATAATTAACTTGCAGGGTTCCAGCGTCTTTAGAAAGGTGATCTGGAAGGCAAACTGGGGCTCTGAAGGGAATGGGGTTGGGGTGCCGTGTGCTGAGAAAAACAAGGTTGCCAACATAAGTGCAGTTGGTGGGCAAGTGGTATCCTTCCCCCTGGACCAGAATTTCCAAAAAAAAAAAAAAACAATGCTCTGGTATAGTGCCTTCCTTTGGATGAAATGTTAAACTAAGGTCTTGACTGTTAAGTCATTACCGATCCCGCTGGTTTGTTCATTAAAGTTGGGCAGGGTGTTAATCCCAGGGCCCTAGCTAAATTCCAGTCTACGTCTTGCTCAGTCTGGCCGCTGAACTGATAATGTTTCTCACCTCGTCACCCGATACATTGTGATGGCATGGCTGATGGCACATAGTAGCTGCTACACTGCCTCTCTCTGAGCCCATGTCCTCCTACTGCGCGCTGTGCTTCAATGGTGAACGAAATGGGTACCTTCCTACGTGTAAAGAGCTTTGGGATCCTTTGGGATGAACAACACTATACAAATGCAAGGCATTAATGAAAATTATAAGATTTTTTTAATGGGAAATTACAGCTGTTATACTTCCAGGTGCTTACAAGGGAATACCACCTGATCTATACAAAGCCACTTGTTTGAATCCCAAAGTTTTACCACATTCTTCTATTTTCTGTTTTATTCTTGTGGCCTAACATTACTCAAAATATAACACTTTAATATTGATCATAATAGCAATGGCATCCACTTGCTTAAACATCAAATCAGAAAGGGAAAGTAACTCCATAAATGAGTTGATTTGAGCTTTACTTACAAGAGAGCTCAAACCCATAAAATCTAATGGTGGGTTAACCTCATTTTATGAAATGTTGATATTTTATGACAAGATGGGGATATATACTGCACTAGGAATGCCTTTGCAGACCAGTTAGCCTTCACTAGTTGTGAGCAGCTGCTGCCATTCATATTGCTGCAACAAGACACCACAATGCCAGACACATACAAATACATAGTAAACACTATGAAAACAGAAGTCTTTATACTGTTGCTACTTATTTTTGAGCTGTTCTTATTCAGTCCCAGTTCTGGATTGGATGCGGTTAATCGCATTTGACTGCAGAATTTTAACCAAGCACCTCCTGGTTTCCACCAGCAGCTGGACACTGTTCCTCTGCAGTACTTTCTGTTGATGCACAGAACAGCTGTTTTAGTCTTCCTTCATTGAGTTCTGTTCTATACGTTTTCTTTCTCCTTTCACTCATAACCGGCACTGCAAGATCTTCAAATCCAGAAGACATCATTCTCCTTCTGCTGGAACGAGTCTGGCCAATGGGTACAACATGCAAAAAGTGTTCCACTGCACACGAGGTCCAGGACAGATTCAGCTGCACCTGAATATAAGTAAAAACACCCCAGAGGCAACCTAACTGAGGTGCCCAGAACAAATGGGACAAATGCTTCTCTCACAACATCTAGGAGTCATAACCTATATTCTCTGGACTGAGACTTGGTATCTTGGTCTATTATGTTTATGGAAAGTCAGTATATGTATTGACATTTTCACAAGGTTGAAATTACACAATTATAAAGTATTTATTCCTTAAAATTCAGGTCATTTAAAATTTGACACCTCATATGCAACTGCATCATCATCTCATTAGACACTAATGCATTTTGGCTTTTTTAATAAACAGCCATGTTTTTAGACAATTATTGGGTACAGTATAAACAGTTTAGCTAACAACTGCATGTAAGTAATTTCCCAATTTAAACTGTTTTATTATATAGACCATTCCTACATAAAATTAACTAAGAGCCCAAATATTTGCTCACAAATTTTGGCTGGTTTGGGGCTATATTATAAAAAAAAGATGAATCCAAATGGAGTTCCCGTTAAATACATGAGTCACTAATGAGATCCTTCTGAACAGTCTTAACACTCAGTGTACTATAATCTTGTTTCATTATAAGGAAAAGCACTAATGGCTTCAGTAAACATTTTCTTCCTTTCAGTTGCCCCTATACAGTGGCATGTATCATAAAAGATTAAGCATGCCCATTAAATCACCTCAGTTTAAAGCACAATAAATGGAAGGTTGCACATTTTCAAAGTGCTCTTGTAACATTTTCTGAAAAATGCCAGTGAATTGTATGACAGGGGAAATTTGGAAACCAATTTCAAACCAGGGATTCCACAGTACATCTTCAGAAGCCACCAAGGTCTTAAAAAGTGGTGTTTGTCATCCTTTTCGAATATATTCATACAGCCAAGAAAACAACTACACACTCTGAACACTGAAATATAAGTCCGAGAATGCCTCCACAATTTGTCTATACTCATGTTATCATAATAGATTTGTTACATATTATTGTATCAATAAATTGTTGCTAATGCTTAACGAGATCAGAGACAATATCCTGACTTGATTCTATGCCGTGTATCCTGTGCCCCAGGAACTTCAAGCACTAACTCCACACTTAGCTCCAGGCTCTTCCATTAGTAAGACCCCTTTAACAGACCTAATAGTAACAGGTCGCAAATTGGTTGAAACTGCAAGAGGCCAGAAAAAAAAATACACTGGTGATTTAACCATCACTTTAAACAGAAAATTGAATTACAAATTTGCAAAACCATGCTTGAAACATTTCCTAGCCCCTCCAACCCTGAAAAAAAAAAGACAAGTGGGTTCTTGCAAAGAAACTTTATCTTTTTCAAGTATTCAAAACTGTTAAATAAGTACAAGGTGTTCACATCATTTACATGGTGGACAATATCAGCACTGCCCTTATCTTATTCTGTATACTGTATACTGCTACCCTTGTACACATAATGCTCTAAAATGTCAGCAAACTATTCACATGTATTTTTTGTTTTAATAAATCAACTGGAATTCCAATAGCTGGCTACTAACAAAGACCACAAACAGTACACCTGGGACAGTATACAGTGTGAAATGGACACGTCTGAGAGGGGAAAAACATTTAGCAAAGTTCAAAGCTGCAATGGTCTGCTGGTGATATGAAGAACAAAGGAAAAGAATGATGGGATGATTATGCTCCCGTAATCCCTTAATTCTTTTGAGCAGTATATATGTACACACACTGCTCACAACAAAATGATATACAGAACGACTAGGGGTGGGTCACTCCATTACTCTACACTTCTATCACACACTCCAAGGGCTGTCAATCAAAAATAGTACTGTTTTCACAATGAAAGAATGACTGGATAGAAGTTATTTTCTTCAATTTACAACAACGGGCAATGACAATCCTGATGAGTTCCGACCCACATTCTCCTTTCAAAAACACAGAAATTTGTCAGGGCTAAAAAGGGCATGGGTTATATTTAGATTAGCACTATGTTATGGGAACACTGCACAGGAAATAAAATTTTCAAAGACACTTTTTTAAGGGATGCCAAGATATTTACTAAAGGAAGTATACCAAGCACCATGCACCCCCACCACGACTGAAATGGTTTCCTATAAAAAGACAAAATGTTGAGATGAACTACAGCTGAGAGATGTGTTTTGCATATTTTAAACAAACCATGTTTATCTGACAGATCATAATTTAACTAGTAATTTAAAGGTTTTTTAAAGTTAAATCTGCACCCAGTCATTCAGTACATCATGTTTCCTGGATACGTCTAGTGATGCAGTGTGTAAATATACATATATAAGTGCTGCCACTATGAAACCTAAGGTTAATTTTCTCGTAACAGAACAACTTGACACTCGGAGTTTAAAAAGTCTAGGGTAGTTTCATTATTGTGTTTCCCAATGATTGAATTAAGTGTATAACTGGATAGATCTGTTTTAGCCTTTATTCTACAACTGAGCATGAGCTCTTAATAGAATTTAGAATTGCACATAAGGCTAATAAAAAGTACAATAAAAATCTGCACATATCAGACTTAGGAAGAGTTAATATACTGTACACTTTCTACAATATTTATGTTGATAATGAATAAACAATTGAGAAATGCCATCACTAAAATTTACAGAAAGGTCTTTTGTGTTGTTTTTTTTTGTATTTCTGTTTTTCCTTTTTTTAAATCAACATACAGTTGATTAGAAAGTTAAACTTTATGTACATTAAGGTCAAAGACCCTCAGCTTATGCATTAAGCCTCAGCGACTGATCCTCTCTTCTCCTAGAGGAGATATCAATGTCTATAGAATCTTTCCCAACAATAAGTCGGAGTCTTTTAGCTGGAGGAAGTGGAATGAAATCATCATCAAACTCCTCATCATAGTAATCCTCTTCTTCCCCGGATGAAGATTCCTGGTCTGTGTTTCTGGCCCCGTGAACCCTGTGGTCATAGATCTCTCCACCTTCACTCACGGGGAGACCATTCCCAGTCACCTCCTCCGAACGCATCTGAGTCACCCCCCTTCCATCGTCTTCCCGCTTGAGCTGGATTTTGAGCTTTGTTGGGTTGCTGTTAGGTCCTGGGTTGAAGCCGTTGTTCAGCTTTGCTACATAGGAGCTGTTTTTGTCCTTGTCGTGGTCTTTGCTGAACTTGATGCTTATCTTCGAGGAGTTCACCATGTCTGCCTCCTGCTCATTCGTTTTGCTACTGCTGCTGTCGCGGCGCCGGCGCAGGGTTAGTTTGGGAATTCCCGAGCTGTTCTCTAGAATGAGCTGCGCATCGTAGCGCGTGATGCTGCGCTTTTTTTTGCCTTTGCCCACTGTGCGGCAGGCAGCTTTCCCCTTTTCTACAGCCATTATTTTTCCTCCGTTGGCTGCCCCGTTGTAATCCTGCCGCCTGTCAGGTAAGCCCAAGAGCATCTTCCCACATTCCCCAATGTCACTTGCACAGGAAGGGCTCATCAGGTCAGGGACACCCTCCTGAATGAACACCTCGCTGAAGGAGCCCCTGTCCTCCAGCTTAATCGCCCTGTCTGTTTTAACCTGCGACAGCCGCCTCCTGCGCAAACATGTTCCATTTCTCTGGCAGCTGGCGTCCAGTTTCGGCAAGGGGCTGTTCAGTTTTATTCCCCGCGTCACGCACATGTGCTCCTCAAAGTCCATCGGCTCCGTTTTTATCACAACCCCGCCGTGAGTGTGACCGTCCAACATATTTGGTTCAAGCTTTATGTCGGAGGTCTCATGAGGATTCAATCTAGTTCTTGTCGACCTCCGAGTTCGGTAAGTGCAATTTAAGCTCCCATCATACACAGTAGCACCTTTTAAAGAGTTATGCTTGTTTTCTTTTGCAGCGTGGCGGGTCAAGCACCCACTTGACCCCTCCACTTTCACTGGTCCCCCCGTTTCTCTCTCTTTTTTCACTGGGAGGTTTTTGTAAAGAACAACTTTAGGCTCTTTAAGAACCAAACTCCCCACATCTAGTTTACTCGAGGAAGTCTTTTGCTCTGGCCTCCGACACTGACTCCTCAACCTTACTTTTGAGAGCAAAGGCTTCGTGGGTTTTGATTTTAGTCTCTTTGGTACCCTGGAATTATTCATATGACTTTGTTTAGAAGATGAGGTAGACGAAGTTCTTTGCAAAGACTGCCTGGTCAGAGTCCTGCTTTTGTTGAACTTTTTCATGCTTGACGATGATCTTTTCCTTGCAGCTAAAATGACAAAGAAAACAAAAAAAACACAGATTAAACCTGTTCACTCACTTGTAGTGATATTTAGTACTACTACATTTACTAAGGTGACTTCTGTAATTCTGATTTTTATCATAAAAGAAAGGATTTTTGAAACCCTGGAATACCTTTCAGCTAAAGTCTTGAAAATAAACAATCACAAACACAGATAAAAAGTTATTGCTAAAAAATCTTAATAATGGTAAAATAACAGGAAAATCCATTCTTTACCACCTCTTCTGCAATACTATCAAAATCTTATCTGGGACATAATGTCAGCCCTGTGTCACCCAAATGCTTTACATGAATGGGGGATAACATGGATCTCTCTGCTTTTGTAAATAAAGAGCACTGGGATCATTTGTGATGAAAAATGCTACATAAATGCAAGGAATTATTAATATCCCTAAATAACACTTGATTTTTTGAAAACAGCTGGTATTTCCCAAGCAAAATGGTGGCAGTTTGTTCTTAATTACAACCAACAAAATAAGTTCCCATTAGTTTCAGTTTTCAACAGAAAAAATATAATTCATATTCATATGGGTTTTAAAGATTACATCATCAGGATAATGATCTACAAATTGCTAGAAAATAATTACTAAATATCTTACATTTACTGAAAAACACCAAAAAGCTATTTTCAAAAAATATCAAACCAAAATATTTTTTTAACGAATGTGCATCATACTGGTGAACCTACATGCTTGTGCATGAGACATTTCCTGAGAGTTATCTGCATCAGTATGAGAGCCAACAGACTGGCTGTCTGAGTTTTTGCTGCCCTCCCCCAACTTCTTTAGCCTGTTCAGGCGCTTGTCTGTTTCTCTCAGTCCATACTTGCTGTTGATTACGGGAGTAGGAACAGGCAGGCCAGCTTTAGATTTGAAAGCACCAGTGCCCCTTCTATAAAAACAAATAGACAACAAATATGACTCAGTAAAGAAGAAAAAGTATTTTTCCCCAAATACAATACATTTAAATTAGCTGTGACAAATAACAATGAACAAATGCTTAAGAAATATTTTCAAATTTATCATTTGTAAGGAAGTCCTTGGGGTGAAGCTTGTGGGAACATGCACTTGGTCAAAACTATTAAATTAATCTCAAAGCTACTTAACTTCCAACATTTCCAATCTCTTCCACTGTAGTATTTTGATACAGCCAGCTTAATTGCTATAATGATTGCCCTGCTTATGAGTTCAATAATTAAGGATCTCGTTGTTGCCAATTCCTACAATGCGGCACACTAGAGGAGCCACATGTTCAACAGTCCTGCTCTAAGACAACAATTTAGGGATCTCCGAAGTTTGATGATTAAAACAGTATTAACACAAAATTAACAATAAAATAAAATACATAATATTACACAGTGCCATTGTCCGAAAGACATTCAGCTTCAAATAAAACCTTTTCTCCTTTGTGAATCGAGTTTGCACTTTGTTCATAGCTGGGAACAGAACCTTTACTAAATACAATTTTATCTAATAACATAAGACACAACCATAGAAAAAGTAACAAGAGTAAACCAAGACAGATTCAAAGTAGATCACTTTGATATTAATAGTTTTAATCTTCCTAATTTCTGGTAAAAAAAAAGGTTTTAAAAAAAAGAAGGTAATCAATATCTTTCGGTTGGAAGGTTTTGGCACACTATGGCAGGCCGGTGAAAAGTTCATACTGATTTGATTTTCAGCCCTTGACACCAGCAAAATTGCTGCAGGTTCACGGTGTGTGAACAGGAGAAAAGCTGTCTTTTGCCACATCATCACCGTTTAAAAATTATAACTGTGCTTCTAGAAAATTAAATTTACTTATTTATTGTAATGTCTACTGAAATTTATTTCACAAATTGGTAGTTCATTATAACAATATTCACAGAAAAGCTGAAGAGGGGCTCCTTAATGTTTCTAATTACAGACACCCTGTTAATGTTTTTTGAAGAAGAAAACTTTGATATCATTCTACTATGGATAATTGAATGTTAGTACAAGAGGCACTGCATATGTATCAATATACATGTGTAAACGTTTTTCCATCACTGGAAAACACGAAGAACAAAAAGAGTAAAGAGCACGACCTTTGAGTTTGTCATCAATTCTTCCTTGGCTAAACTGTTCTAGTCCCAATTTATTAATAGCAATAAATTACTCTTAACAAATAAGAATTAGAATGGGGTGCAATTGGTTTTTATATGTGCATTGGTGAGCAAAAAGGTTGAAAACAAAGCACACTTTGTACAGCTTTAGCACCTGTATTACAAAACACAGAGATCAAACCACTGAAACAAAACTTGAAGTGGGGTTCCTAAACTATTAATATAAACTGTGTATAAACGAATTTAATTAAAACAATAAAAGAGCAATAAATACCTTTCACATGTGTAGCATTCACAGAATTCATTGTTTTCACCAAAGAAGCCATCACCATAATAACAGGAAATCTCCTCTCCGGGTTCAATGTCCCTTAGAACCTTCACACATGCAGTGTCTCGGCCAGTTGAAACAAACTGGAACATAGCAAGCCACCAACACGTTTTACTGCCTTTTACTTTTGAATAACAAATACTGACTTGTTTGCTTAGAAAAGTTATTTTAAATAAGACCACAGCATAAAAAACTCACCTTGCAATTTGGGCGGCAATCTGAAATACAAAACAAAAAGTTATTTTAATGAATAATTTAACTAGCAACACTAGGTTAACTCCTTTCCAACTTACAACTTGAGATTTCGGCAAGGTTTTTTTGTGAACTTCTACAGAAACCTCAAGTTTATGACGTTACAGCAGGAGACTGCAGCTCATGAATGGAAATGAAGTGCATCCACTCTGGACTGAGCGACAGTCCACATGTCACCAGACGGAAATAGGATACATACAGAACACAGTAAATACATACACGGTCCTCAACATTTATTTCACTAATTCCATTAATCACCACTGTCAGATATCCAAAGTATTAGTAATGAACTTTTCAACCACATCAACCTTTGTCAGGATGAAGCCAGGGGAATATTTTAGAAGTGACCAACTCTTCCAAGATATTTGGTAACTTGATATGTATAAATTTGGCATGCCCCAAACCCCCAAGTTCAATTTTTTCTGGCAAAATCTGATACGGAAGGGCAACAAGATGCCCCTTTTCTAGTTGAGCTGGCCTGGAATGAACCTTCAGTAACGTGGCCCGCAGTACAAGTGGATACAAACATAAGCTGATTTGGATAAATGCATCATATTTTGTAAAGGGACAAATAATAGGTTTATTCCATGCTGAAAAGAGAAGAGAGAATACACGTTTCAGCTGTGGAGCCTTCTTCAGGTGTCAGATATTTGTGCAATGCAAAATATAAAGGTTCAAAAGGTAGCAAGACTATTTATAACATAATTCACAACAAACTAAAATAGTGCCCATCTAAGTGCAACAGATGCAGCCAAGAAATATTAATAATCACCTCTTATCCCATTTACAAGAAACACACTGCAATTCTTTAAAAACATTCTTCAGACATTTCTGAAACTTCATGATATTCTATTTCCCCAAATATAGAAGCCCGCCTAACATCTCCTTAAAACATCACATTCACCCCTTAGTTGCTTTAAAAATGGGTTTAGTTTCCATATGCTTCTAAATTCCTCTGCCTGTGCTGGAAGTATTGTATCAAACTGATATTCCTTGTTGACATGCAAGTTATTAAAACAGTCGAATTACCTTTTTAGCACTGCAGTTCTTTTTTTTAATTGAGCCAATTTTAACAGGAAAACGTATTTCGAAATTTTCAATTCAAAGTTATTGATCCCAAAGGGGCAATTTAAGTTTTTAAGATAGCCAGTAAATATGGACTATACATTTGGAAAATGCACACCTTGTCTTATTTTTAAGCTTTGTATAATCTGTCAAGCATTAATTGCATTATGTGGAAAATATGACCCATGTTCTTACTGGGTAATACTTGATTCCACACTATAATTGGGTATGATAGCATTTCTAATGCTGTGAATATCATTGCACAATATTATGTAATACCCCATAATACCCATATTTAATTGAATCTTCTGAATCTAATAAACAGCATTTTTTTATTGCCAAGACCGCCTTCATACGAGAACATATTTGATATTAAATGGTGTTTAACTTTGCATTTGTTTGCTCTGTTTCCTTGTGATTGGGACCTGTGTAACAAAAGAAAACAGTTCTTTGATTCAATTTTTTATGTTAACAAAGTTAATATTTCCCATAATAACATTACTCTAGTGTGGACACTGTGACTCATGTCTAGAGAGAATGCGCCTTTAGATTCACAATGTTTAAAGTAGAACTTTCTTCTTCACATTCAGGAGTACACTGAAACTATGGTTATAAAGTATTTTGTTTGAATATGTTGCAAAAAAGTAAAGTGAGAATGAGAAACCTCTCTCATTTTAGTAACTAGCTACACTTTAGCAGCTACGGTTAGTAACTGAATCGACTTGAAAATTAACTTTTGTATCAACATAATTAACAAGTTAGTCATGCTGTACTGATTCATAATTCATAATTACTCCCCAGCTGCAAAGATGGGTCCAGGCAGACAGATTGAGCAGGCATACCATGGTTGATAAAGGCAGCTGGTCCGAGCCACAGCTGAGCACAGTTCTTCCTCGTGGAGTACATGACACTGAAGTCATTCTCCCCGTGACGAAGCAGCATGTTCTCCTCGCTCTCCGACAGCTCCGCAATACAGCCCACCAAGTACTCAATTTTGTCATTCCTTTTCCTAAGGGATACAATTGCACGAATCTGAATGACATGTGCTTGACCGCTCCCGATACTGTCCCCGTTTGTGTTAACTAATTAGTAGCAGGATTGTTAAAACTTACTCACACCCGGAGGACCAAGGTTAAGCCAGACATGCTTTTCAAATTAAGGACTTATTGAATGTGTGTAAAACTTTATCACATTAAAAAAAAGCTTGTTTTAACACAGTGCAGGCTACAGAGAATGACATTATGGCCCATTACAAAAGTTTACAATTTTCAAAGCAAAATGAATCAACCTCTTCAGTGTGTAGATTTAATATGGCAATTACAATATACATTAAAGAATCAGAATTATTGCACCTTTAAATTTAAATGTTCTACAAAAACCTGGGGTTTTAAAAACATACCACTCTTTTGTTGCAACAATTTTAGCTCCGTTCTGCTCTGAAGAATAGCGATTACAAGGAAGAATTTCAAACCCACTGTCAGAGGCAAACATTCGTAGATAAATGAATACCTAGGCAAGAGAAAAAACACAAAATTAATTTCCTGCAGTTAAAAATATATATTTTAACACTGCACAAACAATGTCTCACAACAGGAAAAAATAAGTGTAACAGAGGTATCAATCATATAACATTCTAACAAAATATAAGCCTCTTTACACAAATTAGCCAACAAAGCACACAATAAGGATGCGTGCAGAGGAAAACGCTTTGGTATGCTTCCTTCATTTCTATGCCGTCTCATAAATAAATATTTAGAAGCCTAGGCAAACTGTATGTAAGCAGGACTAAACTCCTTTATAATAAATACGCCCATTGTAGTACAAGTTCCATCATTTGTATGAACTGAAAACAACAAGAGTTCAAAGTAATCTTATTACTAGATCAATCGAGGCTTCAGTTCAATTATGTATCGGAGTTCAGATGGAATGAAAACGAGCAGGAGTGGGGATCCACAGGACCAGGGTTAGGAACCATTGCAGTGAAACCATTTAAAAGTGGCTCTCTACCCCTTAATTTTGACATGGTTGTTTCTTTCAAAATATTACAACATAACTGCTTCCTTAGCAGAAATCAATGCATTTCAAACAATAACTTATAAAGAACTTTCTCCTTCCAATGGCTATTTCTGTGTTTTTGATTGAAGAATTCTTACATGCTCCTTGAAGAGTTTTTCCTGGGCTTTCGTCTTATGAAGAAAGTAGTGTCTGGCCCAGTCTCCTGCAGTCAAGGCCTGAAATGCCTTTTCCAAGCTATCATGTTTTTTAAAGTATTCTATCACTTCCTTTAGTTCTTCTTGTCTTCCTTTGATGGGTCGAAACCTAAAAATATAAAAATGCCTTCAGTTTTTTTTTTAAGTTCAGGGTGGCTTATTTAAAAACTACCCCACTGGTGCACAAAAATATTGTTTTACAGGAAGAGCAGCTTTTCAGAGATCTTCATTTCTTGTTTACAATGTTAACTAACTGTGTTAACTAACACAGCTAACGGTGTTAGAACACAGTTACTAATGCAGTAAATAAAAGCTATGGTTGGAAAGCATCAGGTCACCCAGGCTACTTACACTTTAAGAGATAGGCACACAGTAATTTTCTGTTCAAGCCTTACAGAAGGCAGAAAAGTAGTATTCAAGAGAAAGGCATTCAGGAATTTAGATGTTTAAACACAACCTTTTTCCAAGATTTGCAATAGGTTTAAATGGCACTCAGGACTCAGTTTTTTTATAATAAAGAGAATGGAAATATTTTCTATTTCAGTGAAATATGTTATTAAACTTCTAATATGTATGACATTCGTGCTGAAACATGCAAAAAATGAAGAGACACTTTGCACTAAAGAAAAATATTTTATCGCTATATTGCAATTTGTTCCCTTATTACCACCATTTTATTCTGAAAGAACATAAGGAATTTTCCACACTTAATTTAACAATTTATCTAGTGTTGAGAATAGAACCTTGGAGTTAGTTTTATTTGAATTACTGATTTATGGCACTGCTGTACTTTTAACAAAGTATTTTGTTGCCTTCCACTTACATTTTATTCTACAAAAATATATTTTTACTTGACAGATGCTACTTTTAACCCAAGGAGAATATGGTTCAGAAAGAAACTGGTGTTCTCCCATGGTCTCTAGACCTTTGTCAGAAAATATCGCAGTCATCAGTAAATCAAAAGTTCTCTGCATTGCACCATGTTTTAAGCTAGTCATTTAAAGAAAGCTATCTCCTTCAGAGTTAATTTTACCACTGTATCATACAGGAATATATATTCCAATCCATAAAAGCACCAAGTCACCACCATAGGCCTGTGCAGCTGAAGTCTTACAAACCTGGTGTTCATTTTGTGTGTCTGAAATCCTAAGTAGGGATCAAGGATCAAACTGGTTGCTAGATCATCATTTTCACACAGCTCTTTGGCTGTCATCCCTGAGGAGGGGACGTATCGTCTCTCCACTTCTAGGGAAGCACCACTGAAACCTGTGGGGAATAAAGAGAAATAGAGAAAAATGACTACATTGAGAAAAATTTAATGTGGACCTGTCTAATGCCTTTTAAAGAGCACTTAAGTTGTATTATGAGTATAAGAGAATGACTTCAAAATATGTCTATAGCTACAGAATAACTGTATTTGACTTACTGCACCTAAAGTAAAATGTAAATAGATTCTTTCAAATACTAGATACTGCAACTAATTCTCAAAATAATCAACCAAAAGAAAGGTTATAAGGCTTTTACATAATACATTCACTACAAAATAAAATTGCACGTACAAGTTTATCTAATTATTCTTCCTTTAAAATCTTTAAGAATGGACTGAGTTCTTAAAATTATGACAAAACTGGAAATTCAAGAAGCTTTACCAGAGGTCCCCACTGGAGGTTAAAACTCATTCAAATGAAATACAGATGCTGTGTTAGAAACAGGATTCCATTAAACTTCAATGCCTCTCTTTATATATGTGCGAAACATTATATGATGAAATGGCTAGGTAATCAAAAATAGTCTGGGCTCAAAAAAACATTTCTGATTTTTAAACTTTTTTTTTTACATTTGGAAACATTACAAAATCTGCATCCCCTTGAAAAAGGTTCAACATCAGAAATCTATCACCATCCACAATGTAAAAAAATGTATTGTCCTGTACTTGTATAGACATGCAATTGTTTCCACTGCAAGACAAGTAATGCAGCTTAAGACTTGGCTTTAAATCATTAAACAAAGGAATTCATAAAAAGGTTTCTCCTGCGTTTAGAAACAACCCACAGGAATGACCCGACATTCATTTCAGGCTTTGCGCCGCCATTTAAGTTGTCATCAACCTCCTGTGGAAGCAAAACTAATTTAAAACAAGATTTAAATTAAATAAAAACGCATCTCTTCATACATCTACCACAACGCCGGCCACGCTCTGTGTACTCCATATCAACTACCAGTCTCGTGCTGACCAAAGGACTTCAGACCAGCATGAGAAAAAGAATCTCATCTATTTCCGAAGTAGTTTAAAGCACCAAAATCGTCCTTTTAGTTAATGCCTTCTTTCCTACTCCAGTTAGGACATAACTCTATTAGCGTTATTGCTCAACTCATTTGTCAAATATTCAACAGAAGCATGTTTCTGGCTCACAGCTCCGCCAGGAAATATACTGTATATAGGGAATAACTGGCTTTGCCCAAACCCAAAGGTTGAGCAGTTAGAGCTAATTACAGAAAAAAAGGAATATGTACTATGTATGAACTCATTTCATTTTAATGCAATGTATTCAGAAGCTTAATTCTCTCGATAATAGGCAGTTATCACAGAAATTAACTTCAGATGTAACACGCATCACAGCAAATCTCAAAACAACACCAACGCTGCCCAAAAAACGTTACTTTCATTGTTGAACTTGCACAAACAATGACAGAAGATGACACGAGAAATGAAACCGCAGCGCGCATGAGCGAGAGAAGTGTTTAAAAGCGACAAAGACAAGCTTACGTCGACTACATCGTCTGCTACTTGGAGAGCTTTTGCTGTGCCTCAGGTGTGCTCTAGGAGAATGCTGCAGCCTTGACTGATTCGGAGTCTGTTCACTGGAGAACCTGCTTCCATGTCTCCTGCCATTTAATACCATGTTCTTGGATTCTCCCAACCACTTCATACCAACAAACAGCCTGATCTAGTTGCATTTAGTCTCTGTATTTATGATGCCCTGTAGAGTGGGATAGGTAAGCCCAGGTCCTTCCCCTGCAGGAATAAAAGATAAAAACAGCAATATTATTACAAATTCAAGACCAAGTATTTTTTTCCACTTTGAGACTCCAATAAATTCATAACATTCTTTCTGCTCTATGGGGTACTCACAAAAACAGTTTTACGGTGTTTTGAGAAGTGGTGAATGGCAATTATGAAACGGAATTTGGATTAAGAAGCACTACCCCTTAAAGATCCATTTCCACCCATTGTCAATAACTGGTAACTGCTCAGAGTGCGGCATGGTGGCGCAGATGTTAGCACTGCTGCCTCTCAGCGCTGGGGTCCTGGACCTGAAGGGTGCTATCTGTGTAGAGTTTGTATGTTCTCCCTGTGGTTGTGTGGGTTTTCTTTGGGTGCTCCAATCTCCTCCCACAGTCCAAAGACAAACTGCTACATTTATTGGCTTCTGGAAAAACTGGCCCTGGTGTGCGTGTGCTGTGTTTGTGTCTGTCTACCCTGTGATGGACTGATGTCCCATTTACAATTCTACTACAGAGAAAACTAACAATGTAAGCATGCGTCTATCTGTGTGAGGTTAGTAAGGTTAGTAAGTTTGTTTGAACCAAAAATTACTTTATATAGTCCCTCCACCAAAGCACAGACAGAAATAATTAAGTCAGTGATTAATGCAGCATGCCTGCCACTCCACACATCATTTTTGATGATACATCCGCATTTATAGAATATATTTTAAAGACAAAATTTATAAAAACGTCCTTATTACTTCTAAGTTGATGCAAATAGAAAAATAACTGTAATAATATACTCGCTACCTTTTATTAACCTGTATACAACGTTCCAGCTCCAACCAACCAGAGCTACAGGCCATCTGGGTTTCCAAAAATAAAAACGTATCGTGCACAATTTCCCATTTATTGACACACAATGAGTACTGACAGTTATTTCATATGTCAGTTATATGTCACCCCATATGCTACTGGAGTGGCATATAAGTAGTATTTGTACTTTTAACTTTTTAAGTGGTGATTTAGAGTACTTCAGCTCTGTAAATATTTCTCAAGTCATTGATATGTTTATGGTACAATATAGCCAGTGTTCTTCAGTTGGCACACCTCCCAGCTGCTCTGACTGCCATGACAGATAACTAACAACTGGGAGTGATGTCATCACTCCTCATCAATGACACTGACAAGTCTTAAAACAATACACAGTTAAAAACTATCACAGGGAGGTACTAAACAAAGGAACAAAAAAATAAAATTAACTTTACATTTGCAATTGTAAGTGAATCCAGAAAAGTATCAAACAAAAAAAAAAACATTACTTGATGTATGACAATTAGTGGCATACAAGGAATTGAATGCATAAAGTTTCTTATTTACCTTCTTCTGAAAGTAAATAGCAGACTTCAAAAATTCCCCAACACAACCCATACAAAATAATTAGTGCCAAATAAATAACTGCTCCTGATTACAGCAACAATTAAGCTAGTCATCATAAAATCATTATCCTTAATTTCAAATATGAAGGTCTCAAACATCCCAAACTACTGCAAATGAACACCTAAAAGCAGATTTTTAACAGTGAACAAGTGCCACAAATACAGCAGATAAAACCGTTCTGCTTCGAACGTGGCTTGAAAAAGATTGCAAGTAGGGATTTGAGATGCAAGGTGTAGCTTGGAATTCACTCAAAATAGCAACACCTGAATGTGTTTTAATATGGTGCTCAGACAATGTGTCACATCATGTTTATCTGCATTATTGATTTACATTTTCAGAATTTAATACATTTCAACACAAGCTGTTCTTTAACTAGAATAACTGGAAATTCTTAATGACCAATGCATTTTAAAAAGTATTATGAAGATTTCTTTGGTGCAATAGAACTGGAGTAATCCATCAGTCACCGTTTGCAGTGCTAACTTTTAATCATGCATGACCCCTTTAGAAAAATCACACAGGTTGAACTCTGCTGCACAGTAATAAAACAATTACAACACTGCTGATTCACTGGCACAAGGTGAACTGCTCTGCATAGCTGCTAAATGTTTTAACTCATCAAAGCCCAAAGAAGTTCAACTCTCATTGCAGCACTGCAGCTCCATGACTTGGCCAGACCAGCCTGTGAACACACTGCTCCTTCACAACAACGCGAGGGGGTGCTTTCTCTCGACACAGTCCGGATCCAGCACCCTGTCGCTCTCATCTCTAGTCCTCTTAAGGATTCACACGCAGCTGATGCTTTGAATTGCTGAACAGAACTGGCATTCAGACGGTACAATGGGTGCAGATAACATTTCCACCTCATTACCAAGCAAGCAAGGAGCACGTGCTACACAGCGGAGGAAGAGTATTGGGAATCGACTGTAATGTAAAACTATGTTGAACACAATGTTTTTGTGTGGAAAACTGAAAAATGTGCAATAATGTTAATACTGAACTAGCTATGTATGCTCAAGACCTTAAAACATAGTAATAAGCACCCATTGTGCATATTAAGTTTTTAAAAAAAAACATTATAAATGTTCTTTATTATAAATGTACCAGTGCAGATTCCTACTGACTCCTGAGTGCGTTTTCAACACCTGAAGGTGCTGCTTTCCAATCTGGCCTAACCAAGACTGCAGCGCCCCTCAGTGGTAACTTACTGCTAGTTTTCATCAGTTGGACTCCGAGCCTGCAAGATGCGCATGTGCAGAGGTTCTTGTCTCTCCGACCCAATACGGAAGCTAGGATCCCTAACGCATAACTTTCCCATGGAGCACTGCACGGGATTTGAACGTAAATGACCCTACATCTCTACAGAGATAGACCGCAATTCTATGTTATTTCAGACAGCGCTCTCCAACCTTTCAACTGGGTTACAAAAGTCAACATCAACTCCACAAATAACGTACCGATGAATATAAGATACATGTAAAAGAAATCTACACTCGGCTCAACCGATTTGCCTTGACCATGTACTCCGTGACGTAGTCCAAACTTCATTAAAACAACGTTTTACACGCAATATGCAGAGACAACACAAAGGACCTGGTGCTTGTGGCAGTTTCGGCAAGCACGCCGATGCCAGAGCATAAACGAAAATGACGAGAAGTGACGATCATACGCCTTGCAACTGTGTGTTTAACAGGTTACAAAACACGCATCATACAAATACGGGGGAGGAGAAACACCGCTTAGATAGACTTTAATTAAGAAGACATTTAACTACGTCCAGAAAAAAAAAGCATGCGTGGGCGGGTGAAGGGCTGCATGTTACAGATCATTTACAACCAGATATTGAATTAACATATACCGGAATCTGAATATTGTATTTTAAAAATTCAAAAAAAGGGGTGTTTGATTCCACATCAGCCAGCCAAACCACAGCACTACACCCCCAGCCCCTTAACAGAGGATGCCGTCTTGTAATCATGGAGGAGAACGACAGCCTATGGCACAGCGCTCCCACATGCTGGGAGCGCTGGGGAACAGCGAGCTGGCCGCTCCTGTAGGCACCTGACCCCATCAGGAGGAACAGGAGAATGCAGCCCAGCGGGGTATTTTTTTTGAAAGGTTGTTTTCATTGATAAAATGCTGCCACCTCCTGGTTGCTGCAGCCTCCCTCTGCGCTCTAAACTGTAACAAATACTAAAAGTACCCCAAAGACGTGAAGGAAACATAATTCGGTGGCGTTATGCCCCGGAACCCCGTTACAGTTTGACATTACACAAAGGGGGGGTGCCGGGGACCCCCTTTTTGTGCGCACGGAGTTCGGGGGGGGTAGGTGGGCCTCCAACAGCGTGGAGACGCTTAAACCCCTTGTCTCTTTAAATCACTAAAATGTATTATTTATTTACACCTGTCGATAACGATAGCATAAAAAATAAAGAATCTACGTCAAACGATCTTTTATATATAGCTCGGTTTTAACGGGGGAGTGAATGCGTTATATTCTGCGTTCATAGACAAAAGAATTCTAAAACTTAAGGTGTGTTTTTTAAAAAAAAAAATCTCACTAAGTATCGGGCCTCTTTTTAATGCACACTAACTCATCTCCATGACCCTCTCGGCTCCATCCACCACTACAACCACCCTGCCAACAAATCTTCACCCGGAAAAAAAGTAACAAAGACACAGAGGGTTTGATCGACCAGACGTACTCCTTAAAAATACTCACTTTAACCTTTCTCCTGGGGTGTGGGTGCTCCGTCCTACGGGCCCAAAATGTCCATGAAATCCCGTCTGAAAAAAATCGGAGGAAACAAAAATTTCCAGAAAATTAACATTAAAATTCAAGATGGCGGCCGGCACAGGAGAGGAGAGAAGGGCCGCAGCACCGCCGCCGTAGACAAGAAATAGATCCCGGCCAGTATCTGTGCCATTAACCGCCCGTCGAAATACGAACCCAGTCTCAAAATTACGTAAATCGGTACACTCTTCAGCAAAACCTCAGTTTACGACGAAGGCCGCGCATCTTATCGAGCAAGATCTCGTGTTTGTTTGAAATCCGACTCGGAGGTATACAGAAAGTAGTGCAGCAAAAACAAACCCCGTTCCCTTTAAACCTCTTCCCCCAGAAGGCACCGAGGTAGTCCGCTGCCGTGAGAGCGAGAGAACTTTGTAGGTAGATAAAAATAAAACGTCCACTTGGTTTTATTGCCTTTCTCTACTTTTATTTTCAAGCTCCGTTTACCTCTTCAGGAGGTCTCAAGCTGCATCTGTATGTTTCTTCCCCCTCCGTGCTTCAGTTGGAGTCATTGCACATCATACACCCATTAATGCGAATGTGCCTCAGTCTCGTTTGCTCAATCCATCAGTAATTCCACATCATTTTAAAGTTTTGTTCTTTCCAACAGTGTATCCAATATGTTGCACGATGGTTTATGTAAATCAAGGACCGCCCATGCTAGGGAAAAAAAAAGGGTCGTCCAATGTAAATTAAAAATGTTGTCACCAGTATTACTATTTTTGTTTGGCTTGCTGGTTGATCCCGTCAACGGATGTTAGGGCTTCGTCTTCCTTTACAGGAAAAAAAAAATCAGAAGTGAATGTAAAATGGACAACTAAAGAGCTGTTAACAAATGTGTGTGTTTTTGATCATTCTGTTTTAACATGTTAAATATTTTTAACGATTCTTCCATTCAGCACGCAAACTTAAAACAGTGTGCAATTTTCGTTAACCGACATAGTCAAATAAATAAAATTATTTTTCTTCGTGTGGAATTATTGTAAAAGAGTTATTCAACCATTGCGTTTTTTTTATTTAATGCATACATTTAAATTTGCTTAATACTTAAATTATAATTCCCGACATATTTTTATGGTACTCGCTATTGAATTACTTTTTTTTGTTTTAGAAAATGCGTTCCAAATTTGTAAACATGCAGTTCTATCTACAGTGGCTAGCAAAAATATTCACCCCCTTCCCCCTGGACGTTTTCACTCCCCCCCCACACTTTTTTATTGTGTAACAACATAGAATCATCCATCTATCCATCTAACATCCATTTTCTCACCGCTTCATCCAGTTCAGGGTCATGGGGAGCTGGAGCCTATCCCAGCAAGCAACGGGCTCAATGCAGAGCCTTGGGTGGGATGCCAGACCATCACACTGCACACACAGACTAATTATATATATATAAAACAGCAAATAACCCATTGCATTAGTATTCACCTCCCCTGCCCCTTGAGTCAATATTTGATAGAGGCACCTTTGACAATTACAGCAAAATTGCTAAAGTTTCCTCGAGATGGATGGGGACTGCTTGTGAACAGCAATTGTCACTTCCTGCCACAGGGACCGAGGTTCCAGGCTTTAATTGGGCCAATCCAGAACATAGATTTTTTAGTTTTTGTTTTCAGGACTCCAGGATGTCTCTGTACTTTACTACATCCATTTTGTCTTTAGCTTCACAAGCCTTCCAGGCCATAAAATGGTGAAGCATCCACATCCAATGGGCTTGCCACTACCATTTTCTATGGTAGCGATGGTACTCTCAGGATGATAAGTGGTGTTACACTTGCACTAAACATAGCTCTTAGTGTTGTGGCCAAAAACGTCAGTTTCGGTCTCATCAGACCACAAAACGTTTTTCCACTTGGTCTCAGTTTCTCCCACGTGCCTTCTGGCAAACATGCCTTCTGAAGTCAAGACCTGATGTGAGTTGTTGTTTTCAACAATAGCTTCTGTTCTGCCACTCTTCCATAAAGCCCAGATTTGTGAAGCACCTGGGCAATTGTTGTCATATGCACAGTTTCCCCCTCCTCAGCTGTGAAGGACTGTGATTCCTTTAGACTTTCATAGCCCTCCCTGACTAGTGCTGTTCTATCCTGGATGCTTAGTTTTTGAAAACGTCCTCCTCTGCAAAGATTCACAGTTGTGCCATATTTATTTAATTAGAATGGCCTTCACTGTGGTTTGGGGTATATTTAATGCTTTGGAATTTCTTATACATTTCACCTGATGGGGCTTTTCAATAACTTGAAATATAACTTGAAAATAATGAGTCTTTTTTCTCCCCTCCTAATATATGTCAAAGAAATGGGTTAGGGTTTAAAGTGTAAACTTCTTAAACCTGATGACAAAGTAAAGAGCTCCACTTTGGAATTTCAATCACATATTGATAACAAACATGCAAGAATAAAATGACTATTAGGGGAACATTCAAAATATCACCTGCTGTACATGCATACAATGTACACAGCTGGATAACACTCTGGAAAAGAAAGCTGAATTTGTCATGATAATTTAGAAATCATACACAGGCCATTTGGAACACAGACCAATTATTCGGGGATATATGTAAAAACACAGAAAGGAAGTCCATCGAGGTGGCTCTGTGGCTCAGGATCTGTGCCTGTGACTGGAAGGTTGCTGGTTCAAATCCCGTGGCCAGCGGAGGAATCGTACTCTGTTGGGCCCCTGAGGAAGGCCCTTAACCCCAACTGCTCCAGGGGTGCCATACAATGGCAGACCCTGCGCTCTGACCCCAAGCTTCTCCCTGTCTGTGTCTCTATGGAGAAAAGCTGGGGTATGCAAAAAATACGAATTCCTAATGCAAGAAATTGTATAGGGCTCATAAAGAAATATTATATGTTATGGTGCAGTTCTACAGCACTCACCTTCTAAAATAAGATAGTTCTTAGTTCTGAACACATCATAAACAGGTTCCTATTTAATTTAAAAACTTGACCTGAAATACATTGGTTATGAAGCACAATTTTTGTAATTTTTGTTTTATTTGTAATCAACAATGGAATTTTTATGAAATGTCAAATCTCACTTCATTTGGTGCCTGGTTTGCAAGTACAGAGTAATGAGAAGGAGGAGACATTTCTGCACACTTTAAGTGTGTATATAGCAGAAGAAAAAAAACTCAATTAAAAGTAACTCATACATTGAAAGAAACAGTGAAAAGGGAGGTATTTTCTGCAAATTTTAATGTTGAAATTTGTGGAGTAATGGATTTCAGCAGTGAGCTGCAAATACTCTTCTCTTCCACTGTGTGCACCTGAACAGAGTAAGAAGGCCTGAATCAGCAGATCCCAGATGAAGAGCTGGACTATAGTTATGTTACAAGTCCTTAAGAAATCCTGGAGTTGTACTTTTCAGTGCCGATACATGAGCAAAAGTAGTCTGATCTTAGTTTTTTTTTTTAATTCTGGACATACTGCTGAACCCTATTTAATGCAGGTAACCCAGTAAGTAGGTGTCACAGTAGCATAATCTAGACAAAATAAAGGCATGTGAGAGAAGGTAAATTGGATATAGGATAGTAGTTGCTAAGTACCTGGAGGGGATCCGGGTCAGGTTTTTTTTAACACAGGTCTAGTAGCAGTAGGTTTTAAGTCTACAGACATAACTACAGGCATAACCCCACATTGACAAGGTCAGTAACAAATGAGCAAAGAGCAGAGAAGTTAGCTTAGTGTCGGGGTGTAGAATGGGGTCGAAGACACAGGTAGCAGGTTTTAGGTAACAAATCAGTCACATGAGTGACATCAACTGCGGTCAAATAAAGACTCTCAAACCTATGAAATCAGGAGAGGAAGAAATTGTCATGATCACAGGACATGAGTTTAATTTGCTGTGAGAGAATTTAGTTAAGAGTTTAGAATTTTACAATGATCACTAGAGGGAGAGACCGCAGAGATGAGCTTATTAAAGTATTTTGTTGTTGGTGCAGAAAAGGTCTGAAGGATTAAGGTGACCCCTTTTAATAAGACTGAAACCAAAGGAGGAGGTGGTCATCTTAATGGAGTCCCTGTGGGTGAACAGTCATCCTTGTCTTCCTCAGCACAAACTCTGAAGACACTGACTTGCTGTCTTTAGAGAGCACAGTACATTTGTGTAGAAGGGGAAGGATGAACAAAAAGAAAAAAGAGTTTCAAGACAAGTTTCAGGACTTGCGTCAGTGTTGTGTTACAGATAGAGATTTTAGTGCTCTACTGTCTCCACTTGCTATACAAAATGATAACATCACAATGACTTGTTGGGGACTGTAAGGCTCACACAGATTACAGAAGTCTAGATAAGTACCTGTGGATGGTGTAATAGTTTATACTTCATACAAACATATGATATAAGATATAAGAACAAGGCTTACTAAAGTCTTCATGATTTAAGTTTGATATAAATATTTTGGATATAGTTACAAGAATAAAACGACCAGATGCCACAGAGCTCAGTCTGCACCTGGAATGAGCACCTGTGCTGGATTATAATGCAATTAAAAGCAGCCGTGGTATGAAATGCGTGAGGGGAGACTTTGTAGAAGTCCTTGAAATCTTTTAAGTTTACAAGGGGAAAACTCAAGACATACTTGATAAGGACAAGGAAGAAAGTTAAACACTTTTAGCATGAAGTGGATTCTTGTAACAGTTCACTAAAGTTTGCTGCAAAAAACAGGATGTTCGAAATCTTCAAACAATCAGTTTTGTGTTGTATTAGAATTACATGGCTTGAACTCTGATAGTACAGACAGCTCAGTCTTGTGGAATTCCTTCAGTTTTGTTTTCAATAGTGCCAATAGGATTTTGTGAAAACATTAAATTCCTTCCAATGGTTCAAATCATTTTAGGAGTAAGATCTGTACTGCTCCAATTAGAAGCTTCTAATACTCTTTTCTTACTAAATCAGTGAAGAATGCATGATTGCAGTTTTTTTTCTGAACTTTATCATACTTGCTTGTTCATTCTGCAGCATCACTTTCAGTATCAGCTCAACATGCGAGAGGGTACAAAGCCCCATTCCAACGTCTTCCCCTTGCTGTATTAGAATATATAGTGCCCCCTGTAAGTAGTTGGACAGTGAAGTCAAATTTGATATTTTTGCTTTATACTCAAGCAATTCAGATTTGAGATGAAAAGATGAATGAGGCAAAAGTACCAAAAGTCACCTTTTATATCTGGGGATTTCTGTGCTTTAATATTTAATAATAATAATGTTCCATCCCCCCATCTTAGTTGAGCATATGAATTTGGACTAATTAACTATATGTACATTGAAGTAGTATAAGACTGAGGGTTTGGTTACAAATCCTTTGTACACAATAACTGCATCAACGGCCCACTGACATCACAAAACCTTTGGCTTGTTCTTTTGTGATGCTTTGCCAAGTCTTTGCTGTAGCCATTCCCAGCTGCTGTTTGGGGCATTTATGACTTCAGTCTCCTTTTCAGCAAGTGGAATGGATGCTCGATTGGATTTACATCAGGAGTGTAAGACTATCCTCTTTTTCCCCCTGATGAACTCTTTGGTCCTGCTGGCAGTGTGTTTTGGGTCATCGTCTTGCTGCATGATGGTGCACTGGCCATTGTGTCTGGAAGCATTTTCTTGTACACAGGCAGACAAGATGTTTCTGTACACCTCTAAAGTCATCCCCCTGCTATACCCATATACCCATTACGTCGTCAATACAGATAAGTGAGGAAGTTCCAGATTATGATACCTTGACCCATGCATTGCGGAGATTGTTAGTGATTGCAACAACTTGTTTTGGAGTTTTTCTTCACAGCTCCAATAATGTGTCTATTATCAACTGCAGGTATTTTTGTAGACTGACCTGATTTTTGCCAATTGCCAAGTACACCAGTGGTTTCTTTTTCAAGATTCAGGATTTTGCTATGCCCAGTTTGTCTGCAATGGCTCTTCAGAAGGGAATGCCTGAAAGGTGTTAACCGGGAACTTTTCAGTGGAATCACAACTGCTCTGGAAATGTTGTTTTTTTTAAGACTCAAAACAGAATGATCATGTATTAAAGAGAGAAAATATGGAAACTTTCTGGGATGCTGGCTTTGTATGATGGTGATGAACTTCAGCTTCCCTTCAATACCTTGATGGACAGGAGAGGTGTTTTCACAGCTACAGCATGTCCTTTTATTAATCTGTCAACACAATTTAGATTCAACCAGCATGTTTTAAATGGAAGAACACACACCGTGGTGGATAACATCACCCATTTACCCCTAGTTTTACATTTCATACAATGATTTAAAGACACATGGTAGATGCTTCAACTGGACATATATCACCACACAAACTTTTCCAGTGTTCAAAAAGTGTTGATGCACTTGGGTAGGAGTGAACCAGTAATATGCAGACAAAGCTTCTTCTAAGTAGTGGAAGATTCCAATCTACATTTGGGCAAATTGAATGTAATGAACAAACACCCAAGCCCTCCACTTCCCCATATTTTCTGTTTGTGTCCTATGAAGAAGCCCAGTGTTACTTGTAACGGTGCAATTCAATTCAGTATAATCCATCTGAGGTAGTCCACATCTAGACCCTTGTGAATGGAAACTGGTTTCCAGTCAAACATTCTGTAACACGTTTTTCATAAAGATATAACTAATGCATTGACGGCCTACATTGCATTCTGCGCTGGATGCTTTAAAAGAACTATGAAGAAAACTGACATTTAATTTACACAAATAAACAGTAGGGCTTCAAAGAATGTGGACTAAGTGATTTGTTGTAAAGCTTTTATCAGAGTAATCAGCAACAGTGTTTCAAAAAGAATTAAGTTATCTCTCCAGTTTGCTGCAGAGGTAAGGAATTTAAACAAACGTGGTCCCTGGATTAGCGGCCTACGTTTGCAATAAAGCACAAAATATCCTCATATCCAATACCTGTGCCAGGGCATGTTTAATAAGGTGAAGGTTCCGTTTTGATCTCTTTTTACTTTCATCGCAGTAGGTGGTTTTAAGAATTAACGAGGGCCTATCGAGTGCTCTAAAAAAATCAAATGTATATTGCTGAGATACTTTGAGCTTTGATTTCAAATCCGATTATGTATCGATCGATAATTCATAAAAGCGTCGATCTCTCTCGTATGAACCTTTGATATTAGGCTTCTTTTGTTGTTGTTGAGAACCGGTCTTTACCATTTTAAACGCACGCAATTAAAATGCAACCCGCGCATAATTTAATTATGTCAGCTATTGAAATGTGCACGCTTTCCCCCGAGCCGCTGCCTAGTGCGGAGACACCAGCATCTCTGCACTAATTCCAGCTTCTAGCTCGGGTGCTGACTTACATCAGTTCCGCTCTCTATAAACTTCGCCCTCTGGTTCCTGTTCAAAAATGACAAGCCTAGTGTGGAGGCACGCGGTGACGTGACAAGATCCGTCTATTTTTTTTTTCCCTTTACGAATAGGAAGGAATAAACTTTATCCTGGGCCGCAGAGAAACCCGAGATCCGACATAACCCCACTTTGCGAAGCTACCACTTTGCATTTGGCGTGATTAAAGGCGCTGGATGTAAATACCTTGCGTGGCTGCATGAACGTAGACCACGAAACACCAGAGGAACGGTCACGTTTTCTTTTTTTTTTTCTTCTAACGGTGGTAAGTCATCAAACAGCTTTGTTAATGCAAAGTTTCATGCTTTGGTACCGTTTAAAGGGAAACGCATAAAGGGCTTTAATCATGAACATGCCACACTTAACGTTACACCTCCAGGGGGAAAATGCACGGTGATTTATTGTCGACTATGATTTCAGGGCTCTTGTTTTGACTCTTCACTTTAAATTTGACTTTTGTTTCAGTGTAAGTACATTGAATGATCTGTAGAACGCAGTTCAATAGTAAGGAACACAAAAAGCCTAGGATCATATTGTTTACGAAATATAATGTCATCAGATACATTTCTTCCGGTTTGCTGTTACAAATGTGCAAACACCGTTGTACCAATTAACTTGACGAAGCTCGGGTTTAGTAGCCGGGTCTTGTAAGTAATTGTGTATTGTGGTTTTGCACTTTCACAGATTAGCTGTACAAAAGAAGTTGACGTTGTCTATTAATTTGGTAATCTGACATTATTTGTCACAAAAAATACCAATTGAATTGGGTTTTTTTTTTTGCACAATTTGACCTTATTTTATTTTGAAAGAATTTGTATTTGTCGAGTATAATGTCTGGAATTTACGTCATTCAGCTATTGTTTGATTTGTTTTATGCTGCCTTTTGTTTCTAGAAAGTCTAGAACATGTGTTAATAATAATAGCTTACACTATTAGCGTCCAGAAAAGCGCTTATATAGCGCTTTTCTGGACGCTCCACTCAAAGCGCTTTACAGGTAATGGGGACTCCCCTCCACCACCACCAATCTGCAGCATTAAGATGCTATTTCTTTGTGTCATATTTGTCAACTGTTTCAGGATCAAGCAATAAAATTCTAAATATTTGGAGTGAATTGTATTGTTTTTCAGGTTAATTTGTTAGCTTCGATTCTGTTATTAAACCTTTTAGTGATCATTTTGTTGTTTTCACTTTTGAAAGAATGTGTAATTTTCGATCTGCCTGCAAGATTACCTAATACAAGTCTTGGGGGGGGGGGGGAAAAGTCAACCTTTTTTTGTGGGTTTTTTTGCCACCAAAAGGTTTTTCCACAGCTCAATAAAAGCAACTGCTTTCCTCCCAACCACGGTAACTTTGTATATAAATAAAAAGGACAGCTAAAAAAAAACCAAACATATAAGGAAACTTTTTAAGCAAGTCTAAGAACAAAGCGATTAACTTACTGTAACTCATTCAACATCAGTACACCTACTGTCAAATAACCGTAGCAAAAATCCAAAGTTTAAGGTTCTGAAGTGATTCCAGTAGAATGTATGCAGTAGTGGCGGATTCTACACGCAGTATCCTTCAGACTTGAGCTAATGGCAAACCAAGGGTGATCTGTTGGGTGGGAAGCTTTGGGGACTAACCTGGCTAAATCAAAGTGCATTCCACACATCACTTCGTTTGTACTGCAGTAGTGATATCGCGTGAGGTATGCATTCAACGTTTCCAACCAGCAGTGTGTACATCTTTCTCCAACTAAAAAAAGACAGCTTTCCTCTCATTAACTCCTTGTGACTGCCTATATCATGTGTTGCTTGGTTATTGCAGGATTTTACTGTACAGCTGAAGTCATGTGAGGGCTTATCTTAACCTAGTGCTCTGTGATGCACTATTGCTGGTCTCTTTAAGACACATTTGTCCTTTTTTTTTTATGGGCATTACTTGCATTCCTCAAGCATAATCATGTTTTGTGTTGTCTGTACCTATTTATTTTTTAATTCAGAACAGAAAAAGAATCTTCATCTATGTACAAGGAAGTCAGACTTCACTAAACAAATTTGGTCGTAACATTTGAATTTAGAAAGTATTTCTGTGTTGGTTAAATACTGTATTCATTTTGATAGGCTCTTTATCTTATTTTCAAGTAATGCAAGTTAATGACATTTAATCAGAAAATCAGATGTGTGGTTTGAGCTTATACCTTAGCCACATCTAATCTCTAAATATACCTCAGGCGCTGACCACATTGATTGAGAGCATCAGAGTAAGACAAAGTTGTTGGTAAAGAAAACTAGGTAAACAATCAACACACTATATAGTTGATCTTTTTAGTGCAACAAAAGATCACAGTTCAATGATCAATTGATCATCTCGTGATCAAGGGTCTCTGTGATTCATGTGGTCTAAATGCAATATTAATAGTGATGTTGGTGTCAGACAATGATTTCTTAGCCTAATGTTTGGTTATTTTGCCTTTGACTAACTGGTAACTATTGCGTCATTGAAGTGCATGTTGAAACAGAATCGGCAACAAGAAGATTCTGGCTATAAACCTCAAACGGCACAAAATCTCTGGAGTTTTAGAAATATTTTAGTTAAAACAGGAAGACAATAGAACATGACTGGTGATAAGATCCCAACAACACTGCACATCGAAAGCACAGTGGCACTTTTAAACCTATTGGGTGCTTATTTTAGCATCCTAAGATGTCCTGTCAGCACTTAAGATACCTGCCACTTTGCAGCTCCCTGTTGTCTGGCAACACAAGGCTGTTTTTTTGTTGTTGTTTTTTTTGTACCTGCTACTGTTTTAAATGGATATTCTGTTTATGCTTTCTTTGAATGTTTTTTTTTTTTTAATGTTGCCAGGTGTATAGTAGTTGTTGGGTACTATCTGTCTGCATCTCTAGTATCACTGAATGGTCATGGAAGATGGTACTGTAGGTCTAAGTTACAAAATGACTGAGGCAGATGCTAATTCTGACATGGGCAGACTGGCCCAATAAAAACGGTTCTCTATACGATATCGAGAGCAGTGCGATTGCTTAACGAAGTGTTATGTTTATGTTTGGTTTAGGTTACAAACGGGTAAATATGTTAAAAGACCAGAAGAGCCAGTTAATCCGTTTCATTGTTGGTATTTGAAATAAGGCTGCAGTTGAAATCTAACACTAAGGCAAAAAAAACATGGAAAATGTATTGACTTAGGATAATAAGGCATATGGTAAGCTGCCACATTTTCAGATGTACAGCAGAAGCACAGTCTGCATACACAAGTGTTTGCTTTATAGGCTGTGGCCAGATTTGCACATTCTCCAGGATCTTGACCACTAATCTATCGACCTTGCTGTTGATACATGATTGATCATACTGCAACTTGAGGCCCAGTCCATAGGTCTTGCAGTTAGTGGGGGGGAGAGAGAATAAACTTAACTCCCCAACATTGGATTTAAAATAGTTTTGATCTTGAATTATGAAACTTAATATTGATGTGATTGAGAGAGAAGATGGTAAGAGGTGTTTTCTGTGAATACTATACTGAAACCAAATGGAAAATATGAAATGATCTGCAAGATGTCTGTAGTTGGTACCTGAATGTTGCACAGGTGTACAGTTTGGAAAATGTTTTGATTCTGAAAATGTATGAAGCACTGTCAACAAACTGGATGACGAGGCGGGCGATGGTTATCATTGCTGCCTCACAGTGCTGGGGTCCTGCATACAATTCTGAGCCCTGCTATCTGTGTGGAGTCTGCATGGGTTTCCTTCTACGGTCTTAAGACGCATTGGTAGATTAATTTGACTTCGGGGGGGGGAATGGCCTTGGAGTGAGTGTGTGCGTGTCTGTGTCTGTGTGTGCCCTGCAATGGACTGGCAGCCCACCTAGGGAGTTTCCTGCCTTGTCAGTAGCTCGCTGGGATAGACTCTGGCTCCACCGTGACCCTGTATTGGAATGAGTGGTTAGAAAATTTATGGATGTACATGTACCATCATATCAAGGAGTAATGTGTCAGGGTGGGTACTTATTTCAATGCATATTTGGTTAGAAATGCCTGTCTGGTGCTCCCATACAGTATTTATTGTACCCTGAGTGTTCATGATGTGTGCCCATCTCAGAGCTGTGACAAGGTTGAATTGGATGACTGCATATATCTTTTTGTGAACATCTGTGATGCACAGAAAGACATCTAAGATATTACAAGATTAAAGCTGTGCACACATTTCTGAACCTATTGTACCTTAATTGTAAAGGGCAGACTATAATAGCAGAATGCAGGTTTGTTGAAGTCTGATTTGGGCCCAATTTGGTTGTGTGCTCTCACCACTCGGTCGCTTTGCTGGAAACCGAGCAAGCTTAGGCTCTTCAAAGATACTGAGGAAATGCACTGCACTTCATGGACTGACTAATTCATACTGCTTAGTACTTCCTAGTCACATCTATTTCATGTATTGTTCTGGTTGAGTTAAATAAGTCCAAATCCCCACAATGTTTAATTTATTATCATGTGGTCTTCAAGGGTAAGAAACATTCTGTTTTTTACATCCCCTCTCCTATGATGAGTCTAATAAGTTATGTACAGTATTGTTGTGTTTCAGAATCATCATAGTACCAATTAAAAATCTGGTACTCCTAAAGTGGCCAGTTGATCTTGCTGGAGAAGTTGCATGATGTGCTTAATGTACTCTCGTATACATGTTTTCTTTACAGAATGTAGTGGAAGCAGCAACATAATTTAAAATCACCGTTATTAAAATGGTGTAAGGGAATTTGAGAAAAGTGAGTCTGAGCTATTCCAAAGTGACGGACTCTAAAGTATTCCCTGGATTGTTAAGAAACATTGACCTTGTCATTGTTACTTAGCAGCATTCTGAATAATAAAGGGATAAATCAAAAGTCTGGAAAAAAGGTGCAAAGTCTCCATGATACAATCATTTTTCTTAGCATTAGTCAACAGAAGCATAGAAAGATGCATGTGCCACTCGCCATTCTGATTTAATTTACACTTCAGTTAATAATCCTGATAACCTTTGCAGGCTGTAGCAGAACTCATTTATCACCCCTACCATGCCCGTATGTTTCCTGTGGTGCTTTGGTGTCTGAGATGAATGTTTAAAATACGCTTACAGCTTCGCCCGGGTGAAAAGGCAGAGCGTTCTCTCCGAAACTGACAAGTCTGCATCCTAGAAGCAATATCAGTAATGCTGCACAAAGTTATGAAACACTGTGCATTTATTTTCTCATGAAAGGCCCTTTATAATGGCATAATTTTGCCTTGTTTAAA